TGGGGGGGATGTCACTTCAAAAACTTTACACTCCGGAGGACTGAACAAACAATAGTGTTGAAACTTTCAATAGAACGGCAATAGGCACTTTTTGAACTTGTTATTTTTAAGTATTATATCGATTCCCAAAACACACTTGCAAAAAAGTGAAACCTTAGTGATGTAAACCAGTTGTGAAACCACAATGTTGAGGCACAGCCGATGAAAAAATGGTTGTCAAATGAAATAAACTACCGTGCTTCTAGGCCTCGAGTTTTCAGCTCTGGCAATACCCAACACCCCCCACATATAGTGGAGATACATGGAACAGGGGTTAGCAAGCACATAACTATTATAGTAATGTAAGAAAGTTAGGGTATACTGGCGAGTCCATGATACAACAAACCAGCCTCGATGCGTCTGGGGAGGCGTGCAGGATGTCGCTGAGTGGAAGGGGTGAGGTGAGGTGTCTGGGAGGGAGCCAGACACCTCATCGTTTTTATGAGTGTATGTTCGGTGTGTTAACGGGTTCGCCCATGATCTGTGGTGCGTGGTCTATGGCCATAGTGCTATGGCAGCCAGAGTATTATTATTGTTATGGTTGCCCAAATTATTTTCTTGCATCTTGTCAGTCCCTCCAGAGTGTACCTATGAAAAGTATACTGACTGCCTTCACATACACAAAACGTGCTAGCTATGAAAAAGTGAGTGTTTCTAAAGTCTCTTGTAGTGGCCTTCACTATCAGTTGTAGCACAACTATTTTCTGTGGTAATGCGAATACGTTAATATAATTTCCTGAATTACATGGTTGTACTCACAATTTCTGAAGGTGCTGTGTCACTGTTAATGCCAATGTCCATGTCTTGGAATAGCACAAAACCTGAGAAAAACAGTGCATCATTAAGTAATCCTCGTTGCATGTGGAACGCAGAGAGAGGGCGAGTATAATATATACGTACACATAAGTAATGTCTGAGTAGACTACCTTGACTAATACGAATCCAAGTGTTACGAGAGTTAGTAAAAATGTTAAAAAGCAGTAGTAGTGCGGCGGCAGGCTAGTGTCTGCTGCAACTATATTCTGTTGGTAGGACAATTCAAACACAGTCCCGGTGTGCTAATGAGGCAGTCGTCGCCATACTATCACGCTCTAGCTATCCATTACACTCTGTACACTGACATACGACGATGAGGTGTGTCCACGGGTCAGTATCATTGTCACTAGCTTCAGCGCGTGGGCATTCTACCGTCTGCCCCCACGTTACGAGCCGCATCTGAGGTACTCAACATCTAGTCAAACTCGTGTGTCCACGCAATATACTACCATCGTGTCACGCGATATCAACGCAAAGAACAGATTTCAAATAGCGACGAAGAATTTGGGTAAACCATTTTGAATTGCAATGTGAGCTGTGCACTAATGTATTGTGCAGACTAAAACAACAAAAATCTGCCTCAAATAACATAGGATGAACTCACGTCTCTCTCAGCCCTTCTGCGAGCTCTTTGGGCGGCAGTTTTCTTCTCTTGTACCAGACCTCCCGATCACAACTGCCACACACTCACCCGAGACACCACACCTCCCCCACACCTATCCCCGCATACACATACCCACTCAAATCTCCTTGTAGCGGAGCGAGGAGGTCACAGTCAACACATTGGTGCTGTTGAGGTCCCTGTCAGAGGAATCAGTAGACCACGTCAGCATCAGTTCCCAGTGTATTTTACATAGGTCTCTTCACTAGTATGACAGATCAATGATGGACTCCCCGAACAGCCAGTTTCACTTCTGTCCACGTCCAGGCTGGGGACGATGGGTATACCGTGGGAAGAGTCGAAGATTTCTCTTGACATTAACGCAGGAGCGGTGTGAGTTGTGATGTTCAACATGGTCGATGCTGGTGTCTGTGGTGAAGCAGACCACAATGTAGAACTGTCGACTGCCGGGTGAGGGTGGTGAGCGTTAACGTGACGAGTCTCTCTCTTGTAGAGAGGTGGTTTGGTTACCAGCTGACTTTGGTGGCTCAACTGTAGAGCCTTAACAGGAGAGAAATGACTTAAGTGATAAGGAAAGTGAAATTGGAAATGAAACCAACCATTCTCTGCACTAATAAAGCTCTGAGCAAGGAGAGATGACTTATTAGAGCGGAAGGTTAACACCCCTAGTTAAGAGAGATGCAATTATGTAGCTACATGTGTGTGGTGAATGATTCATATGCACATCACAGTATCGAGTAGACTGCAGTGGGTGTTTCTTCACTTACAAATGATTCCACATACTGCTTGTCAGGTGTATCCGTATGGATTGGAGACAGTGGCATGTATGTTCCGTTGTTACCAGTCCGTCTCCAGTGGTCTGCAGAGTCAGTGTCTAAAAAGTAGATGAGATACACAGTCAGCAGAGAACCAGGTTAAGTGTTGGTATGATGAATCCAGTTTGCACATAGCTACACAGAGGATGATGCTATGCAAACTTGCACAAACCATGGTGCCTTTATTAGTATTGTATAGAATTTCACCTGTAAGCTGAATGTGTCTAGCATGCCAACACAACAGTAATTTAAAAGGATGTGTCTTACTTCATACTCATAAGTCGATGTCTTTCGTCGGGTGACTGGTACCTTATCGTCGTCACTCGACTCAGTGCTGCAGTGTGAGTACCCTCCCTCTGTGTGCTCCCATACCACACTCAGTGGACCTTGACCACTGTAGTGTGTCCAGTGAGCGGATGTCTTCGTCCCACACCTGGTTATGAGTGGTTGACGACATGTTTGCTGGATTCGTAACGGTGCAGAACTCAGGGTCGCAGACTATGGACGGTGGGTGGAGAAAGAGTAGCGAGTAACTATGGTAAACAGTTGCCAAGTGGATAATCAGTAACAGATGCCTGTTCATGAGCTTGCAGTGATATCCGTATCACTCTTTTGCTAACGTATCGAAAGTGAACTGCTGTAGTGGTGAAAGCTATGTGTGTTTGTCAGATAAAAGATGACTTAATGTAATGAGGTTGCTGTGAACCACACCTGGATTCATTCAGTGATATAATATACTGAAACAGACAAAAACCTTTGCAAAATTGTCATCCTTTCAGTTTTTTCTCCTTAGTTGTTTTTTGCCTTTCACTGCCATGCCCCCATAATTCATTTGCTCCATACTGTCTCCTGATGCATGATGGAAGTTTTAGCATCCTTGAAAGTTAGCCCAGTAATGGAGATGAATAGGTATCTTAATGGTTGGTGTGTACATATTGATAGTAAGTACATACTACGTAAATCCCTATTCACTTGATTCCAGAGGAAGTTGAGGCAGCCAGGGTTTCAGGATGTTTTGAATACCTCCTATCTCTGTTTACACAGGTAGAGCATGACACATGGAAAAAAGACTGAGGCAGGGGAGGTTTTTTTACCTGTCTTTGGGGGTGGAAAAAACATAGGCTGTATATTACTGCTTAGTATATACATTGCCACAGGGACTATATACTGGTCCCACTGTGTAGTAAGTAACATATGCCCAGAGCTATGCTACAATGACAGCATAGGGGATTTTTTTATTTAATTGATAAGATAGAGACCACAGAGCAGATGAGGGACTCTTGAGGATGTCAAATGCCAGTTTTTGGGGGATTGATGGATCTCCTCACCAATATTATGTGAAAAGGAGACAATCTGAGGCACATGAGTGAAATGATCACGAGGTGTATAAACACCAGTGTTGTGCAGGGATGATTTTAGCAGAGGCCCAGAGAAAGATACACCAGTCAATGAAATTTTGCAGCGCCTTGAGAACAGAGATGTTAGCTAACTATTTACATAGCCGCTGACACCTACTCAGAGTTTTGCTTCATCTGGTCTCATATAATATACATACTCTCCATTAGCATGAAATGCATACCCAAACAGTGACATTGACGTGAGTACTTCCTGTCTGACATCTGACAAAAGTAGACGGCAGTTGTCTTCGTTATGAAGGGGTTTGTAGAGGGTGCAATTTCTGTCGTAGCAGAGCTCCCTGTGGCCTTCGGTGGTTGGATTCTGTTTCCACCATTCACCGTGTGAAGATGAGTTGGTTGCCGTGTTGGGACAGTGCAGGATGAGAGAAGACTCGTAGTTTACCAGGCACGATGTAGAGTAGCTGAGGAACTGGGCATCTGTAGACACAACAATCACATACAATTGCTGAGTAATCATGGCTGCAATTACAGAGGCATTTATGCTTGCTATTACAGTGTATAGCTAGCTACCCATTACAACAGTATGATGGGTATATAGCATTAGTGTAGCAAAGAGGTGAAAGTAGCTGTTATTATATAACAGACTTACAGCAGTTCTGGGTGGCATTAGCTGATACTTCATCTCCCAGCAGCAGTGCAGTCCCAGGACTGTCAGGAACAACAGTAGCAACACTGAGGTGAGCGGAAATGAATGTCTGTAGCTACGCCGGTAATACGATGTAACACTATGTTTCGTTACCTCTTCTTCTGTCCATTGCATTCGTGTAACTAAGTAGCTACATTCGCTTAGTCTGTCGTCTTTTATGCGCATTCCTGGTGGGCGGCGCGCGTTCTCACCGGAAAGAAATTGGGAGGGACCGAGGGGGAGGGACCACCGTAACATAGGCTCTAGGAGGAACGAGTAACAACGGTAAACCGTGCTAGCTATTGTGCATAGTGTCGATTTCTCAGCGAAGTCGAAGGTTTTGCGCCTTAGTTGATCCAGCCTTTACCAAATGCTCGCTTGGACCGTTTCACTAACATCTTCCCCTACAGGTATAGCTAGCAAGACATGGCCACTCGTCTGGAACTGCATGAGGTGACTAAGGCTCTAGGAGAACTTTCTCTCTCCATAGCACAGACTAGAGATCTAACTTTCAACTTGGGAGTGGATCTACGGGATCTAGATAACGTCGACGAAGAGAGAAGAGGAGCCGATCGCACAAAGTACTACATGCAGACATGGCTCAGTAACAACCCCTACGCAAGCTGGAAGAGTATTGTTGAAGCTCTGAAGGACATGCGGCTAAACAGGCAAGCAACTCAGCTCGCAGAAATGCTCTCCGCGGGCCCGACAGCCGAGCACGCTGTATCGTGCCCCTCTTCTCTCTCGGTCCTGTCAGCTTCTCATGGCTCACCTGGTGAGAACCTTTTTGAGTTAACCAGATTTCTGTATGACGTTATACAATGTGGTAGAGTTGGTTTGGACCTTGGAATGTGAAGGTAAATGCTTCACTTCCTAAACCACAAATCCTGAATAAAGTAATTCCAACTTGGGATAATGACTCAAAAGAGTGCACTCGTACTTGCTGACCATGCATTATCTTGGCCTGTTGTTAGTATAATACCCTTGCTATTAGAAAGTCAGGTAGCGCATCGATTATTGTGCACTATTCTGTGTATGTTCCAGGTCAGCCTACTCTACCGCAGCTACTGAGACTCAAAGTCCCACAGAGAGTCGGAGTCCATGCGTCGAATTTCGGCATCTTTCTGTTGGACGACACTCTAGGCTCTGCCGTCAGGAACATTGAGGCGAAGTGTCGCGGAGACTATGAGGCTGCTGTGAAAGAGATTCTCCAGCAGTGGCTGCAAGGAAAAGGGATCCCTGTCACCTGGGAGAACCTTATTAGTACTCTGAGTGACATAGACCTCAATGTTCTCGCTAGCGAAATCAATGATTATGTAAAAAGTGTTTGATAAATGTGGTGAACAATCTGATATGTGGTGAATTCAAACGCTTGCCTGCCACAAGCCTGTGGTACCACTTTTTTATAAAAATTTATTTATTTTTTTTTACTCAAGGGAAATAAACATAGTGATGAGTGATGCAAGGAGTAAAAATAAAATTAATTAATAAAAATATAAATAAATCGACAAGTCAAATGATGCCATCGGTTGAAGGGGGTAGAGGCGGGGACCGACGGAGCCATAGTGTGGCGTTTCCACGCCAAAGGGCGACTCCCAGACTCCCATCAGTTACGCATGCGTGTAAAGCTACGCGCAGGGGTAATTCCTTGGGTTTACCCCGCAAGTTGACGACACTCTCAGTGCTGAGCTGTTTCGCGGACGCTAGCAAAAGCGCTTGCGTAGGTTCAAGCGAACAAAAAAAGGTGTGGTGGTGTCGATCGAGTGGTTGGCTCGTATCTCTAGAGGCGACACTGCAGAGGACAGGTATATAATTATATATGACATCAATAATCTACTAGGACCATACGGCCGCTTCACGAATAGCATAAGGCCTAGCTAGCTTCTGCAGTAGCTACTTTTTACCCGCTAGAGCGAATAGCGTTCCGAAAAGGAGACGCATACCCCTCTTCTGACACATCGCGTGCGTACAACGCCACACTTAGCTAACTGCTTTGTTGTCTGGATACACCTATGAGCTGACGGTTTATACCTCTAATCATCCACACAGGTTACTACGTACGTAAGCCGCACGGATATCAGTTCCCACTTTGCTAGCCAGCCACCATGACCGGTAAGTGGGTTGTTTATTCATACACCACGCTGCCTAAGGTTCTTCTTAGAGAGTATATACCGAAAAAGTGGATATCAATGTTTGACTTTGCCTACCAAACGTAATGTATAGCAGTTTCAAGTATGTACAATATTCATTTGCATTGCAGCACTGCCTTATTTGCACTTACCTACATAATTGCCGTAACTCTAACTAGAATGTAAATATTATTCATAGCGTAGCTGATAGCATGACGTGTTTTAACACCTTCACGGCCATGATTCTATTGTTAGTGCATAGCTGATTCGAATCGACCAATCAGATTTGTTAGTACGAGGTTCCTGATTTCTCATATGAACCTCGTGAGCTAACAAAAGTAACATGAAAACATGATATGAAACCTTGTTTTTTCTGTTGATTTTCAACAAGTTCAACAGCATTTCATGTAGGAAATGTATCCCGCAAAACATGATCTGTACAAAATGTTGATCAAAATAACTGATATCTTGATTTTCTTTTTCCACAAGACAGTTTTCTGTGTCTGCTTTGAGCCCATCTCCCTCCTTGCCATAGCCAGGCAGCTCACGCCCGCCCACAAACCACCGCACGCAAATAAGGGGGTGGGGCTCCGCGAGCGAGTGCGCGCGACAAAGCTACTAAGTCTACGGCGAACGCCTTCGGTATAGCAGCCCGCACAGCGCCTGAATTCTCCACAGTCTCGCCTCTCTCTGATTGCGATGGTTCGCGCAGGTCTCCTGTCGCGTTTCTTCGGGAGGACAGTCCCACAGCGGGAGTAGCTAGAGCGGCGGAGCAGCGTATCCTAGCGTTCGGCGTTCAATAGTCCCGCACGAGATGACGGTCTTGCGCTCTCGTCTCTTTCTCGCATCTTCCTCTGCTTGGAAACGCGGCTGTGCGCGTATACGGAGCTGATTTGCTCTGCACTAAACATGTTATGTACTCCGTATACTCGGGACATACCGGATTTCAATGAACCCTCAGGCCCTCCGCGTAGTGCCCTCGCTGCGCTCGGGACACTACAAACGCGGAGGCCCTCGGGTTCATTGAAATCCGGTATGTCCCTCGCACGTATATAGTACATAACATATATATATCGAGCACATCATCATGAATGTAGACTTGACATAGTCTGCTGAAGATAAAAATTAATTTTGTGACTGCAGGTCAACAGCAGGCAACAACTCTAATGATTATGAATAAAGTGGTAAGTGTATGCCATTGCTACTTGTATAATAGAGAAACCAGTAGCTAAATCGCACTGTGTTAATTTTTCACAATTATGCAGTTGGAAATGCAGGATCTTCGTGATGTACAAGATGCCCTGTGGCCAGCACGAACAGCATGGAGAAATATCGGCATTCGCCTTAAGTTGCCAATCCATGACCTGGACGCTATTGATGAAGAAGGCGGAAAGCCTGGAGAAAAATTCACTCGCATGCTCACCACATGTTTGAAGAGGCTTGAACCACTGACTTGGAAGGACCTCAAGGATGTGCTGAACCATCAAACAGTTGGCATGGGAGATGTAGCGAAGGAACTCCAGATACAGGACATCAACTAATTTTAAAGATTGTGAACAGTTAATGTTTTATTTTTTAGCCTGTGTAGAAGATTTAGTGGAACTGTTATGCTAAAGTTTGTTAAAAGTTCTTCCATTTAGCCGTAGATAGCTAGCTACCATCCGCCCTGTTACAACACAGTTTCAATTTCCTGTGTGTCGGGAGTAAATAGAATATTCGACATTTTTAACTCCCAACCGGAGGGACGAGGGTGGTTTCACTATGGTGCGCATTGCACATGCGCAGTATCGCATGCGCGCGCGAAGGTTTTGGCGGGAACGAACGAAGTGGTGGTGGCGCCTTGTCTTGTGATCTTCATCTACAGCCAAAGACTAGATCGAAGGTATATACAACGTCTGGCATGGCAGTGTGGGCTAGCTACCATCAGGTATACGGCGGCGACCGCTGCGCTGTGATAACATCACTGTCCTGACCAGACCCTTAGGATAGGGGAGATTCACCCGTCTACGGCTTCGATTCCGGAGGGAGTCTGGCCGGCTAGCTAGGCTAGTACATCACCGTGAGGGTCACCCACAGTGTGTTTTATTGGACTGTTATAGAGTTGAGTAATATGACATGTTATGGTATCCACAGGTAGTCCATAGCCACCCGTCATGGCAGCAGATGAGACTCCACTCCTACTGAGACAACCTCTGGTGAATCTCGGGAGGTCAGACGTTGCCGACGACGACGTACAAGAATCCCCTCCCCTCTCTCCTGAACTGTGCACCCAGCCTGTGCCCAGAGCCCTTGCAGGTGATTACTGGGTCTGTAATATAAAGAGTCGGTCTCTTTCTTCCCCCTTACCTATGCCTATCTCTGTCGTCCCTCCCCGTTCCCTTTTCTCGCTACCGCATCTCTCTTTCCTCTTCGTTTTCTTATCCCCTCTTCTCCTGCTGCCCTTTTTATCTCTCTCGATCTCCCTCCCTCCCTCTCTTTCTCCCTCTCCTTCCTCTCCTCCCTCCCTCCCTCCCTCTCCTCTCTCTCTCGACAGGAGTCATGGTCTATGTGGAGGTGAGGTCAACAGACAGTCGGGAGAACAGGTCCAGTGCCATTGCCTCTGAACTGGAGACCCTGGGAGCCACTGTTAGTCCTCTCTTCTATCCAAAGAGTATGCAAGAGAAAATTATGAGAACAACAAGGAGCAGTGAAAGAGCACAATGCTAATACTTTTCCGAATTGCGTAAAGCATACACAATCATTACTAATACAAATCTTCCCACACTCCTGGATCCATGCAAGAAGTTCATGATCCACCGGTGTGTCAATATGTTCATTCGGGCACACTCGGTTGTTTCTGTCCAGGTGTGTCCAAGGTTCACCAAGGACGTGACTCACGTGGTGTTCAAAGATGGGAAACCCTCCGCGAGGGAGAGAGCAGAGAAAAACAGAGTCTTCCTCGTCTCTCCACTCTGGGTCGAGGCGTAAGTGTAATCTCTCTCTCTCTCTCCTCTGGCTTTTAGTGCCTCCTCCCACTCCTATACTATACAGTCATGCAAGAAGACATGCTTACAATATGCTATGATAGCAACCCACAACGTGTAAACACAAGTGTGCATTAATTGGAGTACATTTACTAATTACAGGGCAACTCCCAATGATTCCTCTGACTCTTTAACAATATATAGAATTTGCTATGCTCGGAATGCTACAGCTCCCCTCAGGCTTGCATGTTGATTTTGCTGACTCTATCTATTTGTTCATCTCTTGTTTCTCTGCTTTTGTTGGTCTCTACATACACATCTATCATCTCTCCTACTATTTGATTCCCTTATTTTTTTTAACTCTGTTAAAAAAACTTTTACATTTTCCTTCTATCCCGCTTAACCATCCCTTCTTTCTTGGTTTTACATGTTCTGAGTATATACCGTTGCACACCACAGTTGTAAGAGAGCCAATGATTGGATATCGGAGGCCAAGTATCCAGTGATCACTCGTGACACGGCTGACGCGTCCTCAACACCGGTCGTGTTAGGAAAGATCAAGAGAATCAAGTCAATGCAGCCCAAACCTCTGGAGGAAGAGATCGCAAAGAGCTTAGGTAATTGGTTTGAAAGATGAAAGCTGAATAATAGTTAGACACTGAGACAAGGCTACGTGCATTAGAAACCTGATTGAATTGTAGCGTTCCGAGCACGTACTCCAATTGATGCACACTTTTACACGTCTAAAATCTATATGTGTGTTAGAAGCCCGAGGGCCCTTGAATTGTAGTGTTTTAACGGACGAGATACCTGTACTCCAATTGACGCACGCTTGTTTTACCTGTATGCGGATTGCATGGAAAGTGGACACTTAGTAAGCTCAATGCGAGTTACTACCATATTATAGTAAATACATTCATCACGTGTGAGTGCGTACTACAGTAACTACAGTTTTATGATTTTGAAAGTGAAAAGGTGCACAGCACTATTGTTGTGTGCCTTGCAAAACCTATATCCTAAAAGTACATACACCAGAGCTTAGATAATTGGTTTGAACGTGAAAGCTGAATGATAGTTAGACACAGGCATAAAACCTACGTGCATTAGAAGCCTGATTGAATTGTAGCGTTCTGAGCAGTTTTATTACTTACTCCAATTGATGCACACTTTTACACGTCAGTAAAACCTATGCGTGTTAGAAACCCGAGGGCCCTTGAATTATAGCGTTTTAACGGACAGTTTTATTACGTACTCCAATTGATGCACACTTTTACACGTCAGTAGAACCTATGTGCGTTAGAAACCCGAGGGCCCTTGAATTGTAGCGTTCCGAGTGACAGTTTTATTACGTACTCCAATTGATGCACACTTTTACACGTCTGTAAAACCTATGTGTGTTGGGAGCCCGAGGGCCCTTGAATTGTAGTGTCTCAACGGACGAGATACCTGTACTCCAATTGACGCACGCTTGTTTTACCTGTATGCGGATTGCATGGAAAGTGGACACTTAGTAAGCTCAATGCGAGTTACTACCATATTATAGTAAACACCTTCATCACGTGTGAGTGAGTACTAAGTACCTACAGTTTTATGATTTTGAAAATGAAAATGTGCAAGCTACGTAGAAACACCTCATCACGTGTGCGTACTACACAGTTGATTTAAAAGTGCACAGCATTTTGTGAGCCTGCAAAACCCATGTACTAAAAGTACGTACACCAGTGATTGGCTAGCGATTTTAGCCTTGAAATAATAATATTGTTCAAGCTAGACAGCCAAATGTTTAATCTAATTGCCTTCATAAAAATTGACGCACGCTTGTTTTACACGTCTGTGCGGATTGCGTGGAAGTGTTGCCATGGACACTTAGTAAGCTACGATTAGTAAACACCTTCATCACGTGTGAGTGCGTACTACTACAGTTTTATGATTTAAAAGTGCACAGCACTCTTGTTGTGAGCCTTGCAAAACCCATATACTAAAAGTACGTACACCAGTGATTGGCTAGCGATTTTAGCCTCGAAATAATAATATTGTTCAAACTACTGCTGTAGCACCATGATTTGATTTATCCGGCAGAGAGGAGGAGGAAGAGACCTTCGAGGGGCGAGGGGAGGGAGGCAGAGAAGAAGAGGAGGGAGATCGTGGAGGAATCCTCCAATGAAATGGTCTGGAAATGACATCACTCTCTATTTTCACAACTGCTATCTTTGTTTCTTGTCGTTGCACCGCAGGAAGTTGAGCAGGACAGTGAGTTGGATCTGCCAGTGATCAATCTTCCTCCTACTACCCCTAGACAGCCTTTCTCAGGTGTGAATATAGGAAGATGAGAAATAAAAGTTTAAGAGGGATTCGTTAAATTGAAACGAAAGGTTCAGGGAGATAAAGAACATTACTATTCCATACTCTAATGATAGTCATAATATTAGAGATAGTTGGCTTGTCTCTTCTTGCAATGTTCCTGTGAAAAATGCAAAATCGTTGTTAGGTAAAGGTACAGCAAAATAGAGGAGTAAGATGGGTTGGTTAAGCTAATGTAGGTACAGCTCATAAAGTCTTACCTCTCATGTTCACAGTTGCAGCATCTAATGCAGAAGTCACTCCATTCCTGTCTGCCAACAACAACAACAGTGCAGACAAACAAACAAACAACAACAGTAAACAAACTGGTAAACAAACGACAGAGAAAGAAAACAACTCCAGACAGAAAGAAGTAACTACTTCAGCAACAAACAAAGACGAAGATTTCCAGGAACCGAGTTCAAAGATTGCCACCAAGAAGAACAGGGTGGGTTCAAAGGTCGTTTCCAAGTCAACCAAAAGGGCAGTAACAATGAAAAAGTCGACCAAATCGACAAAGAGTACCGTCGCGGCAAAGAAACGTGCTGTCGCTCTCGGAAAGGTTAATGCTAAGAAAAGAGGTGAGTATTGATGGCAGTTGTGTTCAATGGCGACATACTAGAGCCGAAACATTTGCTACTCACACACATTCCATTCATGGGATACAGGATAGTGCTAGGGGTAGGAAGAGGTGTACGTTTTCGAAGTACATTGGGGCCATAGCTAATTACAATTCCATGTTTTTTTATCATCTCTCCCCTTTTTTTCGGTTCTCCAGTGAAGAAGACAAGTGGCGGTAAGCCAACAGACCAACCAGATGCCGTCTCTACTGAATCTCCCTCAGCCAAACAGACAACCAGTACACAGGTGAAAACTAATATTTTCTTTCATGACGTGACGTCCCTACATCCCCCTACATTTCATGGAAATGATTTTTCCACTCGTTCCACTCATTCTTAGATTTGAGGCTACACCTGCCTTTTCCACTGTTTTTGCTAGAATGCCACTAGGCGCGTTTAAACCACCACTTTTAATCCGGATTATTAGCGCTAAATCTTGGTGGTGGGTATGCGATTAGTTAGGCATGGTTTAGAAAGGGATTTACTAGCAACTCGTGCGGTCTCGCATAGCATCACACTCAGTTCACTTGTCATCAACATTAGAATCCTGATTTTAAATCCGCCGTAAAAACGTGGCTTACAAGACATCTTGCCATTGCCATTGTACACTTACCAGTAGTGTGTCGTAGCTAGTATCTCTCCTCTGTTGTAGGGAGTGGTTGGGTCAGTTGGTAAGAAGAAGAAGAGGAGATCAAACAACAGTAGACCTTTCACCAGAGATCTGCCCGGTCTGGTGATGACCAGTGTTTCTAGAGGGTGAGGAGAGGGAGGGAGGGAGAGGGGGGTGGGAGAGAGGGAGAAAGGTTCAGTTTCCTAAATACAGTTAATATCACAACACCTTACAAGTCAGTTTCTGGAGTCAATTAGCTGAGCCTGAGCCCCAGGAAGTGGTTGTGTAAACCAGTACCACATACTTACTTAAGACATACTTTTCTTATGGGACATACAGTACTTGACTGAAAATGATAAATTGCGGGGGATTACAATGGTGTTAGTGTTTTTTGCAATTGGATGTAAAATTAAAAAAAGTTACGACAATTTTTCGGGGGCTCAGGAGAAGTCAAATAGACTTTAGTAAAGGGATATTGAGGTGCCGAGATGAGCAACACACCGTTACCTACAGGGACCAGGAGTTGGTGCTGTCAGTTGTGAAAAAACTCGGAAGATTCACCGTTATCGACATGGTAATTACTGCTCTACCAAACCTAATACATCATATTATTATGTGCACCTACAAACCTGCACTTAGTACATATGTAAAGATTTGGGATGTTTTTTTTTGGGCTTAAGAATGCTGCATGTCCCTTCAAATTGTATGGGCCAGTTGCTCTCATGAAATTTTTCTGGTGGGATGGATGGGCAGAATGTTAACTTTGATTTTCAAGCACAAAGCTAGATGTTGGGTGCATGCTGCATGTATATACCCACTCTCTTGCACATGTCTTGTTCAGTGACTGAGTACAACAGGCAGACATTGGCACTCAATTCGTCGCTCTCTTCTGTGTGTAGGTGGAGGACACTACGACCCACGTGGTGTGCGGCAGAGGCAGGAGAACGGTCAATGTTCTATCAGCCACCGTCAGAGGATGCTGGGTCCTCTCTCTGGACTGGGTCTGTCTTCATTCTAGTGCTCTATACGAGATAGTAGATAGTGTTTCATTCGTAACCCATAACCTGTTTTTCTTATGGCATACTATGCATTGAGTAACCAACATCGTGACTCAAAACTTAGTCTTATATGAAGTAACAAGGGTTTAGTGCAATGAAGCATGGAGCTTAATTGTGTTTTAGTAGCCAAGGCAAGCAGAACAACACTGGACTAGCTTAAAGCCTTGGATTTTGTACTGTACATGCATGAACCTTACTTACTTACTGCAGGTGTGTCAGAGTTTGGAGGCAGGGAGGTGGCTGGAGGAGGAGAAGTTTGAGATGACTGACAGCTTCCCCTCTGCCAAAGTGAGCCACTGAATGTGTCTTTAGCAGCAGACTATTGCGCGGTTACAGTGCAGTTTTTGCTGCATGAAGACTTAGCTTTACGCGTGATCCTTACACTACTTTTGTGATGGTAACGGTGGTGCTAATTCAATCAAAAACATGTGCACTCTTGCTGAGTACATTTTCGTGTGTTACATTTGGTGTTTGACTTGAAATGTGTGCTTCAATCATACACCCTATTACTCCGTGTGTGTGTGTGTACACGTGATAACCCTAGGCTACTACTATATCTACAATAAGAAGTAGCCCATTGATACAGTCTCTATCCTTCTCTCCCCCACCACACCTCACTGCAGTATTTCAGAGAGGAGAGGGAGGAAGCAGGTCATCTGTACAGGTCCAGTCTCTTCAAGGAGGCAGGCTCGGTGTGTGTCTCTCCTTCAACCTCTCCCCCTGCCCTCCAGCTGGAGATGCTCCTAGTGGCTGGCGGAGCTAACGTTAGTTTTTTTGCAAAGTTTTTTCCTGATGAAAATGTTTCTTCTGAAATGTTGTTATGGTATATACTAGTACTAGGCTAGGCAGCACACACACAGAAAACGCCCCCACCCCCATATTATGGTTGACACACAGGTTACAAAACCGTTTTCCTCATCCGTTTCTCTTCTCCCTGTTCCACTGTATCACCTCTCACCAGGTGACCCGGAGTATGAGGAAGGCAGATGTGTGTGTTGGCTGCCACTCTCCGCGAGAGGGTCTGGATGAGGGAGGAGCTGTCAGCGTGACTGAGGCATGGATACTCGGTGTGTTGAGATCAGTCACGTTATGTGTGTATGTGTCAACTACGCATGAGGTTTAAAGGCTCAATTACAGTACGTATGTTTTGTGTCAACTACGAGGTGTATATAGAAAGACAAGGGGAAAAGCAAACAAGTTAACTGCACCCGGGACAGCTGTTCTGGATAAGAGAAGAGCTGCCCTGGGTCTGGGTGTGATTCGAACCCACAACACTTGGCAGTCTAGTCTAGGCCTGCGCCAATTACGCTAGCATAATCCTTGGAATAATAGGAACTTCCCAGGATTCGCATAATTCGCGAATTTTAGGGAATTTTCGGTCCAATCTACGCATGCGCATATGCTTAGTGCATGAACACCGGTGCACCCGGGTGTACCCAAGCCCGCCATAAACCGTGTATACAGAAATGGAGTATCCGGATCCCTCGACACTCTCCTCGTCGTCCGCGTCTCTATCTGCGAGCTCTGTTACACCCGCTGCTGATATATCGAGCGTCTGTTCTGGCAGTGGCGACTCATTCTCAGAACCTTCTTTACTTTTGCCTCACCACTATGCTACTTCACTCAGTATGTACCTCATTTGCATTTATGTGTGTTTATTAACCGCATGTAGATTCAATCTCGTCTCATCGAATGCTGTCCTACGATGGCTACATTCTGGACAAACCTCAGTCACGAGAAACCAGTCCTGAACTATAGACATTCTTCACACTATACCACAATTTACACACAACCACACAGTATTGTAATACCTTCTTTGACGAGTGAATGTTAACGTGCCTCGTTAGTGCTTGTTGAATGAAAAGCACTAAAGTGCAAACCCTCGGCTCAAAATGCGCACGTTTGTTGTTTTGTAAGCTAGGTGGGCTGGGCCATGCGTCGTCCGAAGTCGCCTAACACAGGCTAGGCTACATCTCAGTGGGTAGTGGGTCTTATCTATTTATTGCTCGTGATATTGTCTCTCAATGCAGTCGTTTCAGCCTTTATATTGTTCTTGCTGAATACTCAGCACTTTTATGTCATTAAGCTGTAGACAAAATTTGAGCAACCAGACGAACTTGATAGGCATTATTATATATTACTCTGCGATCACGTAGTACATTTTCACCAGTCTAATTAGTTGAGATAGCATATTTATAATAATTATGTCAGTCAATGGAGCTGCCATCAGCACATTGACGGAGAAGACACACAACATGGTGTTTGTGCCGCCGGCATTATTGGAAACAATGCACATTGCACACCTCCAAAAACACTTAAAACCTAATGTTTTCTACACGACACTCTCCTTTCTACAAAAGTTACGATAACAGTTACAAGCTACCCTTTGAAGTAGACACCTCTCTTTCCTCTCTTTCCTCTTTTTTATCTTTTTAGTTCACTGTTTTCGTTTCACTGTTATTCACTATTACTTCTAACTTCACACCCCCTATTTTCCTCTTTCGTGTTTACCTCATAAAAGTGTCAGTGTCTTGGAGCGTTAGCTATAGTAGTGTGTCCAGCAGTTGAGAATTGTGAACGATTGATCATGGGGAACGAAATTATGCTGCTAGTGATGTTGCTGTCTCTTCAGAGTTCAACAACTGGTAAGTCAGAAACTCTCGGCCTCATGCATCACACTATTCGTTACCTCTAGTAGATGGAGTGCAGACACCAGTACAAGTTGTACCCAGAGGAATAGAATCAGTCAATGGATCTTCTGTTAACATGGGATGCACCGAAGAACTGACAGTCACTGATGGGTTTACAACATGTGGCAGTCCAGGGAATGGTGCAATCAGCTATCTAATTGACGGTTCTTCCCCCAATTATAATATTGACACTAGTGCCCCTGACTGGGCATCTCGGCTGGTGGTAGTTAGGAGAAATGAAAGCGATCCTAGCGATTCTATCGTACTATCATTTGGTTTTGGCACAGATGTGTCACCGAGTGCAGTTGAAATTGACTTATTTCTCTGCTCTGAATGGAATTTTTGGGTCACTCTAATTTCGCTCTATGCCAATGAAGAGTTTGACTTAGTTTTTACTGGTACTCTTCGATTGGGTTCTTTACTCTATCCTTTCGAGTCCTTCTGTGGCTCCTTGTCAACGATAACTCTCACTTCATGGCTGCTAAGTTCATACCAAACATTCCACATTGTGATGAGTTTTTGAATCTGACCCATTCATTGAGTATGTGAATATCGGAGAAGTAAGGTTCAACGGAATAAATTTGGAAGGTAGACCCTATTAATTCTCTGCCCTTTTCACCATAATAATTATAACTATGTATCTTCCATGCAGATTCAAGTCCTAGTTCAGCTACAACACCAGGTCCAAGTACTACTGTTACAGCTACAGTACCGAAGGATGTGGGGTATTCTGGTAAGTTGGAAATGTGTAAGGCAATAGATATGGGGTCATTTCCCTCCTTTCTCTATAGTTGTGGTGAGGCCTACTACAAGTGCTCATCTGTGTCAGCAGAATCTCTTCTGCATATTATCATCCCACTCGCCATGGCAGTGTCCCTTCTTACTCTGTAAATTCTAGCTAGTAACTAACTGACTATGCTTAATGCTAAGTGATATGAACTGCATAATTGATTGTATAATATAGCTAGTTGGTTTGTGTGTTACTGCAATATTTTACTAAATTTTACCTTAACATCACTGTTACATGGAAAATGCTTACGTAGCTATTCACCATAAAAGACGTGTAGAGAAAGACGGTCATTTTTTAACAGAGCTTGTGTTAGCTAGTAACTTGTGCAAAAAGTGCGCCACCGTATTAGGAGTGCAGCTGTTGTGCGCTTGCGCGTGCTAGCAAACAGTGAAGTATTATTACCAGAATGCAATTAATTTTGCAAGTGTGTGAAAGACCCAAATAAACAAAGAGGTGTTTTGGCACTAGCTAAACAACAGCAATTTCTGACTCAACAGAGGAAAGCGACTGGGTATGTAAACATTACTGGCACACCTCGCTGAAGTTCATGCACTCCCAGATGTTCGCAGTCAGTCCTCAAGCTAAACATCAGAGTAACGTCTCTCTTTCAGTCATAACAGTCATTAAAACTATTGCAAATATCTGACTTGATTGAATTCTGGCAAAATACTCTGCTTTGGTCAAAATTATTCTGCAATTTGCGGTAACACCCTCAAAGAAGTGCATTGTTGTTTGTGGTTAGTGCCCTGGGGAAGGTTGTGTGTGAGAGTATAAAAAGGAGGCAACGAGGGAATCAAAACTACTGTTTGGTTTCAGAGAAAGGAAGATGAAGGTTCTTGCAGCAGCTGTAACGCTGGCGGTCATACTGTGCTGCCTGGACTTCACCCACGGATGGTGGTCTGCCCCAATCTCAGGCCAACCTGAACCGTCTCACGAATCACTGGCTGGTCTGCAGGGTACGCAATCTATAGCTAAGTACTGTATATAGCACCAGGTTCTCCCTTCTCTTTGCAGCTAAAATCATGAATTGTTTCAAAGTTGATGGCTGTGCTGGTCCTGTACTTTCTTCCGCGTCGTGGCGCGAATGCTTCGACCGAAAATACTTTTGACGAGAAAGAGTCTGTCATGTCTGCTACTGAGATATGAAACAGTTTGTTCAATCAGTGCTGCTTGAACGCAATGAACAACATTCTTATCATGGTACTACAAACAGTGCGTACACAAATAATCCTTTCTTGCACATATACCACTAATTCTTTGCGTCAACTGTGTAGCTAATGATTTTTCACAACCCCGCTACATCACGCCTCTTGCGCCTCTTGCAACAGGTCCATGTCCACATAGCTACGTCGTGAAGAGGGTCGTCTAAGGCATCTACGCATGGAGCCACACTGTAGTATTCGAAATTGCTCGACCTGATCTCGTGTACTCCCCAGCAGCTCGCGCGAGAGCCTGCTAATCGAGAACCGGTTACGCAACTATTTGCGCACGCGCAGTGCTAAATTGTGGATGACGCAATACTCGGAGTGTGCGCGGGGGCGTGAATTATCAGTGTATATAGCAAGGGTTGAGTGTGTGTACGTAAACAAAACTTAGCCTTCTAACTAAGTCAGCCGGGGACCGTTAATGGACCTATCGCAGCGGATATCGGTACGCCGGCTCTCGGAGCTGCCCGACTTTCGCGCTAATCTGGCGCGGGACGTCGGCGAGGGTCTCCGGGATGATCCTAGATGGTTTTCGACCAAGTACCTGTACGACGAGGAGGGAACGGCGCTGTTCGAGCGGTTCTCACGACAGCCACACTACTACCTCTTCTCGGCAGAGACGGACATTCTCCGTCACCGCGCCAGAGACGTCATGGAGGCCGTGAGACCGCAAGAAGTGGTCGAGTTGGGATCCGGCGCCTCGACAAAGACGCGACTATTGCTAGAGGCAATGCACGAGACCGGATGCTGTCGCTACGTCTCTCTAGATATCTCCGAGAGAGCCCTTCGCACGTCGGCCGAAGAACTGACGGCGGAGTACCCGTGGTTGCAGGTTGACGGGTACCTCGGCGACTTTGACACGGATCTCCCGAAACTGTCCAGGAAAGGGCGTCGCCTCCTCGTCTTCCTCGGAAACACGGTCGGAAACTTCCGGACGCGGCCACAGCGCATCGAGTTCCTCCGAAAAATGTCCTCTGTTCTCGTCCCGGGAGACGCTCTGATGCTCGGCTTCGACTTGCGCAAAGACGTCGGAGAAATCCTCGCCGCGTACGCTGACCCAGAGGGCGTTCAGAGACAGTTCCTGATGCGCTCAGTAGCCATCATGAACAACAAACTAGGCGCCCGTCTACCGGACGGAGGAGAACACTTTTCGATATAGACATAATATGGAACCCCTCGATATCAGCGCTGGAAATGAGACTGGTCGCTGGAAGGGACACTGAGCTTGTCATTGAGGACCTACAACTGGACCTAAAGTTTGGGAAAGGGGAGTACATCTTGCTGGCAGTGTCGACCAAGTTCACGAGAGAGATGATCACGGAGGACCTGGCAGAGGTGGGGCTAGGTGTGAGTGGTTGGTACACTGACAGCGCTCAGCGGTACGCAGTCCTCATTGCCACACCGTCAGCACATACCTAGTGCTGTATATATAATACATAATCTTACATAGGTTTTTTATACTCATCTTTGCTGACATTACTATTATATAGCAGTTTAATTTCAGTACATGTATATAGCCCTGCACAGGTTTTTAAATCTTTCGCTAACATTACACATATTTAGCAGTTTATTATTCGCAGTATATAGCCAAATGGTTATTTAATCCTCCGCCCTCCGTGTCCTTTTCAGTGTATTAATGTTTTTCTATTCCGAATTATCAATTAGTTTTGATAAAACCTGAAAAATGACAAGAGCACAATAATAATAATGCCCCCTAGCTATATCATACTCAGTGCTCACTTGACTGATGGCAGCAGAGAGTTTGTCAGACTCGCAGACTTGGTCATGTGACTGCTCACATGATATCACCTGACCACACCTTGAAACTGTCTCCAGAACATCCAGTACAGTCATCTGCGCAGCATATCAGTAACTTGAGAGGGATACACATTACGTTTTATTTTTCAGTAAGGATGTTGACTATTAGCAATTCAGAACTTGTTTTCTGGTTTATAGTAAGTACAGAGTCTATCCAATGACCATAAAGAGCAGGAACGGTTGAGAACATAAGTCACAAGATAAGGACGAATGACCCTTCCTTGTACTCGACAGCACTATCTTCAATACAGCTACACGGGACACGACTACGCAGACCAATACACTATATGCAAACTCTGGTGTGTGGACAAAAATCATGTGCAACTTCACTATATATAGGAATAACATTGATAGGATTGGTTCATTGAACAGTAGCTACACTGATTTCTCCCATCACACCCATGAACTAAAAGTTGCATGAGACTTTCCAACGGTCAATGCGAAGAAGATGAGTGTTGCTTGCCTTGATGTCAAGGTTGTAGTCAGTCTGGTCAACTGCTAGTGGCTGGTCTTGGACCAGAGCCTGGACCACTACCTCTGCTGGTATCAGGGATGGGACCACACCCCTCTCCTGGGTGAGGCAGGACAGACAAGAGAAAAGGGTTTTAACCCACTGACTCCTACCAACAAACATGTAAAATAACAGCTCACGCTACATACTATATAGAAAGAAAGAAGAGAGAAAGAAGTGTGAGAAGGGCTGCTGGGGCTTCACTTGATAACTACAGCATACCTTGAATCTCCACAGAAGACTTCTCATCGTCACAAACATGGCCCCTTCATTCTGTGTACATTAATTAGTGACACGTAAAACTAAGTCCCCTCATGAAACAGTTCATGGCATACACTTTCTTCAGTCCCATTGGTGTCCCACTGAATTGCACATAATGATTATTTCAGGCACTTACATGGAGCATTACTGTGTATGTATGTATGTCAGTGTGTGATTAGCATACTACTGTAGATGTTGCCATAGACTGGTAGAGATCCCAGCACTGGTCTACTTGTTGTGGAGACACGAGGGACGAAGAGATAGATGTGAATACTGTGCCTTTGTTGGAACAGTGGGTTTGAGGTAAGGGTGAGCCATGAGAGAGGGAAGCAAGATATTTAGAAACGTTCATTCTACGTACAACTGGCATTACCTGTGAGAGAACAGGCATTGGGAAGGATGAGGTTTGTCAGAAAGTGAGACAGACAGGCCGACACATCCCCACATCTGAAGCATGATACAAACACAATTGAAAAACCGAAATGTAATAGCAAGTGACAAAGCAAAAGGCAAGGTAACCATGAATTCAGAAGATGGCTGAGACTGAAACAGACCAACCCACTGAGCTACCAGGACAGTTCAGCAGGCAGGGCCTGAAAATGACAAGGCAAATCCCTAACTGTGTGTAACGTACATTGTGCTGGAGTAGAGGTGGTGGGAGAGTAGGACTAATGATTGCAGGAACTCCCTCATTAGCAAACAGGAAGTTGGACAGGGAGGCTGCTGCGCTGCAGAGCAAGGGAGAAAACAGACACATCTTCGCCGTGTGAACACTGGAAATGACTACAAAATTGGAAACTTTTGCATGGATATGATCCAATGACATATGCATTAGTCCTACCAAGGTATATTATTATACTCCAGTAATAGCTACACAGTACAGATCAAATGTATACCGAGACTCTCTCTACGATCAGCATGCAGCTAGTTAAAGTCTTTTGCACACACAAAATTTCAAGCTCTTTTTTTGGTCTGGTAAAACTGAACTGTAAGCTTTACTCTGGAAAAAAAACTCATAGTCTTCATGGTTTCCTGTAAGTTCGCAGTGGTATATAAGTAGAGGAGATACCAGCAATGGTGTCAGCCTCCCAGATACTGAGACCTCTGTGGTGCACTCTGCAGTCTCTCAATAGCTGCCAGAACTGTGTCAAGTAATGCGTGATGGTACAACATCATTACCATGCATGCACACATGAATCAGGGGGATATTCTATTATCGACTTGTGTATGTAAGACTTGTATATGCAAGAGAGCAGATAATATTCACTTGCTGACAGAGCAGGTAGTCAATGATATTCAACTGAAAATGAATTTCCAATATCATAATGCACCTATGTGCATATGTTGTTGCTGCACTATAACATTTCTAACACGTTGGGTGGACCCATCATACCCATACATTTAAAGCTCCATGCAACAAAGTACATTGTGTATCATATCATGGTCTTAGCAGAGACTCTGGTGTTGCCCTACCTGTAGTCTAGTGAGACAGTGGGAGGATTGGAGGGACTGGGACCCCAGACTGCTGTAGTAATGATAGATCCTCTTGAGTTGACTCATGTACTGCAGTATCACAGAGTAGACCTGCCAACAGCCCACCAGATGATAGAGGGAAGAGAGAGAGAGAGAGAGAGAGAGAGAATGTGTGTGTGTGTGTGTTGGGTATTGGGGGAAGAAAAGGAAGATAGTCCTACAGAGTGTGGGAGGCGTGTGCCGACCTCACCGCGTGTGGCTGCCTAGTGGTCCAAGGTGTATGCATCATTAACTGTTGACTCACTTCTATTCTACTTGGGGGGACATGCATGGGCAATATTGAGCTATTACTCTACTCTATGGGTTTCTGTGTCATTTATATATTTTCAAGGGCACTTAGTTATGGAGGTAATAGGGGAGGCCAAGGTGCTACTGTTAGAGCGGAACAGTATGTGTGTGTATGTACTACACATACAAGCACAAGAGTAAGACATGGATGCCCAGCCTTGAGAACTGGGGACGGTGGGTTAAATATCTTTTATGGCTAGCCAACTCTCCCCACACGTCCAATGTCACAGACTCTCGTGCAAAATCTACAGCTTACAATACTGTATTGAAGTAGTTACAATCACATACCTTAGGCTCTCTGGGGGAATTGCAATCTTATGGTTCTACTAATGTACAATGGGGTATTTATAGGGAGTTGTGATGTCTTGGCTAAGGGGCAAGTGGGCTTGTTTACTCTAGGGTCCTGGGTGTGATGTACTCTAGTGATGTAAAAATGGTGTGTGTGTGTGTATCCGAAATTAAGAAACCAGCTGTGTACACATATTTGCTGGCATCAAGTAACAAGACATTCCATCCTACAGCAGCATAATAGGTGTGGACTCACCTGTTGTAGTTGGTAGTGGTGATCAGCGAGAGGAGATAGGAGGGGAGAGATGGACACACTGAACCTCCCACTGTCAGCTCCCTTCTCTCCTCCTGCCACGTCTCCTGTAATAACATGAAACCACCAGAAAAGTGTCAATGGTATATATGTCGTAGAGTGTGTGTGATATTAAAAAGAAACACAGTTGAACTACTGCACAGAATAGACAAACTCTCAACACAACACAGATACTGTGCACCTCCTTTCAGTAGCCACAAAAACATTTCTGTCTCAAGATTACAGAACCTCTGGTATTATATACTCTCCATCAAAACCCTAAGTCATGTCGTATGTAGGACTAGTACGTAGGTATGTGTACGTGCCTATGAGAGTGCCAAGTGGTGTCTTTGGTCTAGGAAAGACCTCTCTCTCCTCTTCATCTGTCTCACGAGATGATGATATTCTGTCGCGATGGAATACTCCTGCGAAAGACTCTCCGTTTTTTGAAGGTGAATGTGCCACGCCCTTCTTTGAGTCCATCGACCCATTCACCCCTGTACACTGCGCCGCTGAAAAAGAGAGATACAATAAAATGAAGGATATAAACAGAATGAATGAAGATATGTAAACATACAGTGGAACCTCCGAACAAGGGGCACCATGAGACCAATGATTTTGTCCCTTGTAGAGAGGTCGTCCTTATCTCAGAAGGTCCCTCATCAGAGGTTCCACTGTATATGGTGGTTGTTGGGGTCATACACAAAGTGGGGGCCCCTCAAATCAGGGACATGAATTAGTGAGGTGTCCTATTTCCTGGGTTAAATAAACAGCCCTTGTGGGGGAAAGGTGCACTTATTAGAGGTTTCTTCACTCCACGAGTCCTTAGAGAGCGTTTCTAATAGTTTGTCGGTATTGTAAGCATAGTGTATGACAGAGAAGAGGGGAACACCTGGCATAGTAGAAGGTGCCTTGACCATGTCTCAGTCCGTTTCTCCACTCTCCTTCATAGCGGTTACTGACCGGGTGCTGTATATACACAGAGGAAAACAGCACCACTTCTCTCAATATTGATATTATTCCACATGCTCTCACACCGTGACATTTAGACCCATGGCTCACAATACATTGAAGGAAGCAGATATGATGCAGTATAATTATACATAATGTCGCAGAAATTTTTGTTCACGTTTGGGAAAATAATGATGTCTCGGCAATCAGATCAATAATTGGGCCATGCAATTATGCCTTTCATAGTTCATAGCCAGTCGAGGTTCAGTCTTGACAATTGATTGAAACACACTCTCTAAGGAAACAGACAGACAGACTGACCTGTGCGTGGTTATGAGCGGCTGGGCTCTGCCAGACGTACAGCCCGTGACCGTTGGGACTGTCCCTACTCCAGTGACCTCTGTACCTCTCTCCTACCTCCACCCCACACCACCTCCCCCTCTCCCTCCTTCACCCCCTCCCTCCACTGGCCCCTGTACTCATTACCCGACCTGGCCGAGAGAGAATATGTAGAGAGAGGGCGGACAGAATAGCAAAGAGTAGCAGGAGACTAACACAGTAGTACATTGTAGAAGAGGTGTGTTATAAGTATTTCATGATGTACAGATTTATCGCAACACTGCCTTGTGTGTGCCTTTACAACTATATAATGTACAGTTACTCGAGACCTGTATCTCCTGACTCCAGTCCCATGTTGTCTGTTATTCTTCCACTCTCCATCATAAAACGACTCTCCCTCCTCATTCCCACCTCCCTCTCCTCCTTCCTCTCCCTCTCTCTCCTGTCCTCCACGACCAGGACCAGTGCAGTAAGCCAAATGACCCTGCAGAACAGACAAGCAAGGAGCAATGCCAAGGAGGCAGATACATGATGCGGTATATGCACCAAGGAATTAATGTTTAGATCATAAGCTCTTCTGGTAGACGGTAAACAACATATGCCGTGCCAACTCGACATGTAAGCATAGATTGTGACAAAGTAGCAGGTCTTTTAGGTTAAACACACTTTGTGCAGTCAGGCTGAAAGGTGCGCAACTCTATCTTCTCTCTCCTCCACATTTCCCAACTGCAGTTGACTATAAGTACGTAGCACTTTATCCTCCACCCACAAGGTGCATGTACTCTGTCTGAATTTAGATTGCAGTAATACAATCCTATGTCGTTTTTATTAGCCACACAGCTACATACATTCATCTCCAAACACTGCCATTACCTCTCCCTCTCTCTTTCCATTAATTCAGGACCTGTTTCTATGTACATTCATCTCCAAACGTCCACTAAATCTCCTCCGATTCACCATTACCTTTCCCTCTCTCTTCCCGTTCACCCAATGCCCCGAGTAAGTTGTTCTAGTCACTGGGGAATAGTAGACTCCGTAGCCGTGACGGATACCATTTACCACTCCTCCACTGTAGGTACTGGAGGGCAGGTGCGTACACATACGTATTACACTAGACTGCAACACAAACTCTAACTGACCTCTCGTCTGGCCAGGTGTACGTACCTCTACCAGTGATCTTACTTCTCTCCATCTCTCCCTATACGTAAAGTACATACAGTACTACAATTTGCCAGAGGATAATATAATTCAAAAACCAAAGTAACAATATTGTGTATATACATGCTGAAAAATTACCCCGTGTGAACATTTTCCCTTTTTCCAGAACTGCTCAGTGTAAGAACAAGCCTTTCTACGCTTGTTAACCATTCATCCACCCCCTCTCTCCCCCCACTTCTCCATTTCTTCTATATACGACTCTCACATTTTTTTTTACTGTTTTCGGCATCCGTCGTTGTCCCTACAAACATACGTACCTCATACACTAGTCCGTCTGTCCAGGTGAATCTTCCCACTCCATGCATTACACCATCATGAAACTCCCCCTGTATACACGTTACAACAGGGGTGAAGTAAAAAGGCAAGGCAAACAAGTCAACTACACCCAGGCAGTTCTTTTTCCCAGGAAAAAAGAAGAGCTGCCCTGGATGGGATTCGAACCCACGACACTCTGTTCTCCAGGCGTACATGAAACACACCAACTTTGAGATAGCATAATAATAATATGGTGATTGTGGAGAACGGTGAAGTTGGCTGTTTAGAAGTGAAAGCTTGCTCTGATGTTACGTATGCTTGAGTAATAAGTCATGTTTGGCGAGTGCCTGAAGATTCAACAGTGTGGTGGTACTGGTGGTATAGATATACCTCGTATTGGTGGCCGTCTTTGAAGATTGCTCGGCACACTCCGTCCAACTTGCCATTGATTCGCATACCTTCACACCTAAGAGAGATGGAGAGGAATCCGGCGGGAGGGAGAGATACAGGGTTTAGGGGCTTGAGATCAGGGAGTATACTATCACACTATGATGCGATCTGGTTGCTACATTCTTACAAGAGCCATAGACCAAAAGTTTTATTAGTCACCGATAATACTGTCCACTTATAGAGACCCATAGGCATGTAAACAAAGCCGAACAGAAACGAGAGAACTACAGACCTATCGATGATGAGGTCCGCGAGCGGTCTGTGCACTTCTACCGACTCTCCGATGCTGGAGCGGCTGAGCGCCTTCGCAACCTCTCTTCTCCTCGCCTCCACCACCCTCTCCACGTAACCCTCCATCTTCTTCCAGCACTGAATGCGAAGCTCTCGGCAGCTGTGTAGTAACCATGGTAATACCGAATGCGCACGCGTAGTCTTGTTCATTGTGCGCATGCGTAAAATTTATGTAACACCGCGCAATCATCAAAGTGCGGGTGTGTGTTGTTTGTAGCGCTAGAGCACGATGCAGCCACGTTCTCGGATCAAAACCTACCCCCGACGGTGGCAGCCCTATAAAGTGTTTTCATAGGTTGTTTTTTCAGCTATCCCATGTGGCGGGAGCGTGTCCGGCTGCGCCTATCTCCCGCCTACCGACGGTCATCGGTCTAGCTGAGTGTTTGACTGAGAATTCGTAGCTCGTCCCTAGGCCAGCTGAGACCGGAATTGTTGGTCGTCTGCCACACAGCCACAGATCAGCAGGGACGCACACCGTGAGTTCATTTTGGCTAATTGTGTGGTTTTGATACTGGTATACGTTGAAGATCGCTGCAACGTGGATGGATCGCTCTTAGCTACTTTTTTACCCTAGTCTTTCATGCTAGGGATCGATATCTGTGTGTATTAGGTCTATGCGTTGAGTATATACACCTCTCTGCCGGTTGTTGCTCCATACGTTGCACTTTTCCATTAGCATTGCGCTGAACTGAGTGGCCTTGGCTTGTGTGGTGCGTGTAAGGCTGCCCAGCTGCATGTGTAGCTGTGGTAAAAAAAAACTATATCATTATCCAGAGCCTACATAATTATAGCTACTGCTGTTCAATCAGCTAGTGAATTGTCAGACGTTGGGAATGGAAGGAGATCTCCCACTTTAGCATATTATGTATACCTACACAGGAGACTGCAATCATGGAACCCTCCTTGTGATATTAGTACATACATGTTATGGGGGTGGTCCACTGTTGATCAATCACCGAAATTCCATGTGTCTGTGCAGCTAGGGTTTTACCAGATTGGGAGAATCGACTGTTTACCCACATGCCACTCGGCATTCATACATACCTGGACATTAGCCTCTTATTGGAGACACCATTTTGCTGACCAAAAATGGCGTATGTCCCTATGAGGGAAACAACCCAAATTTGTCTCAAAAGTTGGATGATTTTTAAGCAGTATTTCTTGTGCAATTGAAGTAGCAAAGTGTATTACATTACTGCAAATTAAGAAATGAACTGTGTTTTAACGTAACTATAATGTAATAGCCATGTGTGCATACATGGAATAAGTAGGCCAAATTGAGCAGTAGTAGCAACCACTTGAACTCTTTTGTCTCACATTACATAAAGTCACCCAATAAAACATATCCTTAAAGTGATTGTGGCCAGTTTATAAGTTGCTTACTTAGGAACTGTTACTGAAAAATGTAAACATAATTGCATTCTTGCACTGGGCCCTATTGTTTATTAGTAACATTTCTAAATATGTAGACCTTAGTAGTACTGGACAATCACACACCCCTGCAATTTACCCTCCAATCAAGTGTATTGTGGTTGTTTTTTATCGTCATGTAATTGCCATTACCATTCTTTAGTTTTGCACGCTATAATTATAGTAGAGTAGGAATGTTTGGGTTTCTTGTTTTGTGTTAACATCAGGTGACAATTCACAATCACAAATACACAAATTGTAGCAATCCTTGTTTCTTGTATAGCGAGATACACCCAATATTGTACATAATAGTATACTATGTAACAGCCAATACATTTGATCCATAGAGAATTTAACTATTTCACCGTAATACCCTTGGAAAATTGAAATACCCCCCGAAAATTGAAATTCCCCAGAAAATCGACCAATCAAATCAAGTGACTAGGAAATCAATGTGAAATACTTCATACAAGTTACAGCTCCAGAAACAAGTGTCGCGAAAGATCTTGTGAGCATGACTATAGCTAATCTATATAACACACTGATCACTATACACAGCACTATACTATTAACATGTGATAGTGCAGTTTGGTGTGGTATTAGGGATTAATAGGGATGGAATTTAAAAAAATAGTATTCGGCTTCGCCTCATACTATTTTGAAAAATTCCGTCCCTATTAATCCCTAATACCACACCAAACTGCACTATTACCTATACTAATATAGTGAGATACACCCAATATTGTACATATAGCGAGATACACCCAATATTGTACATATAGCGAGATACACCCAATATTGTACATATAGCGAGATACACCCAATGTTGTACATATAGCGAGATACACCCAATATTGTACATATAGCGAGATACACCCAATATTGTAAATATAGCGAGATACACCCAGTATTGTACATATAGCGAGATACACCCAATGTTGTACATATAGCGAGATACACCCAGTATTGTACATATAGCGAGATACACCCAATATTGTACATATAGCAAGATACACCCAATATTGTACATATAGCGAGATACACCCAATATTGTACATATAGCGAGATACACCCAATATTGTACATAATATAGTGAGATACACCCAATATTGTACATATAGCGAGATACACCCAATATTGTACATATAGCGAGATACACCCAATATTGTACATATAGCGAGATACACCCAATATTGTAAATATAGCGAGATACACCCAATATTGTACATAATATAGCGAGATACACCCAATATTGTAAATATAGCGAGATACACCCAATATTGTACGTATAGCGAGATACACCCAATATTTGACCACCCATGAGTTACAGTGTGACTCTATTCATAGTCTTTTATCAGCTAGTGTTTTGCTGTGAGTGCATGTCTCAACAACTTGCAAGTGCATATCCCGGCAGTTTATCCTTTGCTGTGGGTACTCTCTCTGTGTGCCTGCAGCCACGTCCTCTAGCACAGGAAGCCCCTCCCCTCCCTCTCTCCCCTCCCCACCTTGCCCCTTACACAATTCCTACTTCCCACTCCTTCCATTTGACTGGCGCACCACCAAAGCCCATGCTTACTATACTGCCCCATAACTACCAAGCCTGCACTCTGCCCAGCTGGCCAAACCTTTTACCAGCGTCACATGGGAAGTAGCTCCACCTGCAGGCCTGCCAGGGGTAGCGAGGCCGCCAGAGTTGAAAGGACTTTGTGTGAAACCAGACCTGTGCATTGTGTTCGGTGACAATGTCCTGGTGTTTGGTTTCAATGACAGCACATCCTGAGGGGAAGCATGTCGCTGGGAGAGACAAGTAAGCAGCTGGCACAGATGGCTTTCTTCACCAGGCTACCTCAGATTTATTAAACTTAACTTTGCCATGCGCGGAATTTCGGCTAATGGGGGAATTCTGTGTCAAGTTTCCACAGACACATGAGTGCATTTGACAGAGAATCACGCTGCAATGTTCCACACATGGGAGGCACGTGAAATGGAGCAAACTTTTATGTTTCCCCATCATTAGCTTGGAATGTTCGGTTATGGCAGTTTATACTGTTTCTGTCTAATTTACCCAAAGTTACCCTAGAAAGAGGAAAGAGGAAAGAGAAGGGATTTTGAGATCAAAATGCAGAAGTTTATATGTATACACTCCATTTGGTGTTCCACTGTTTCACATGGCTTGCATGTGACTGCCACATGGCTTTGCATGTGACTGCCACATGCAAGTCATGTGACTGTCACATGCAAGTCATGTGACTGTCACATGACTTGCATGTGAATGCATGTGGCAGGTATAAGTGTAGAAGAGGTGCCAGGTTGGTTTTTCATTGGCTCAACACTGACAGGGGTGGGAAGGACAGCACAAGAGAAGAAATGTGGGATTTGTAGATGAGGATTTGACCACAATGAAAAACAGTAATATCATACAAGGGTAAAGTACAGCTGACATCCCTTCATGTGTCCAACCACCTGGTGACCAACCATGAATGGACATCAAAGGCTCTGTGCTGGCCTGTGCCTCCTCCACATATGTAGCATAGATAATATAGCGGGGCATTCAACACCTGCATTCAACTTATGTATGCATCACATGCTAAGTATCCAATCCTGTTCAGCTATGCATGTAGTCCAAGTGTTGTGGTAGTCTCTGAGTGTAGTCTTGTCTAGTTCTTTCTCTGATGTGGCTGTAGTAATGGGTGGGTCTGTTCCAATTAACATACCTCTCTCACATTTATTCAGCTAGCCCCACCTACATTGTGTAGCTATGGAGACCTCTACCCAGCTGCTCCACCCACAAGGGGAAAGGAGCGGCTGGTAGCTATTGATGCAAAATCTAATCCTGAAGACGTCATGTCTTTAGTATCCGACCCGCTCTTCTAGTACATGTGAGTCATACGGGGCCCCCACCTACCAAAGTCCTCAGACTACGGATGCACGTGACGTTGGTTGGCCGTTCTGCGATGTTGGAGATCTCGTTTTCGAGATCTTTGACCAAGAAATGTGTCGCAATAGTCACCAGATCCCTTTCCCACGTGATGAGTGAGTGGGTGTGGTCTGGGCTTCGATGGACCTCTCTGCTTTCCATTCAGTAATAATACTGTACTATTGCAATGTACACAGAGTATGTATGTGTGTTAACACTTGCTTTGATGTGGGAGTGTCTGGGTTTCGTGTTGCCATAGTAATACACTCCTCAATACACAAGTGTTATATAAACCCATTCAGTGGTACAGTATATCCTGTATATGCCCACACACAACTTCATTGTGGACTGAAACTGTTATTTGATGTGGTACTGGACTACACCCTTATAATTTTACTGTCACTGTGTATAATTGTTGTAGGGTATAAAGTGAATGCTATTGTGTTTCTTTATTACTCGCTCGGTTGCTTGGTAACTGTGTTGTTGGTATGACATCCCCACTTCGTACTGGGTCGTTGCTGGGTGATGTCAAACAGTTGCAGCAATATTGGCACACCAAGTGAACCTTCCTAGTCGTCTGAATGCGGAATTTTTCGTACTGCCACATACCTTGTATACGTGATTCTAAATAATTATACGTGTGAAACACGTGAAAAATCGAACTTCCCGCTTTATTGCTACATTCCCCTAGTAATGTATTGCTTGTCTGACAGTGTAGGAAAACCTGGACCCACTATGATAGTGTCCTCTTTTGCTCGCCCCCCATTTCTGTTACAGCTGCTTGCACATCTCTATGCCATCAAGCCCCATGACAACGTTACAACTGATAGTAGCTGACAGATAAACGCCTGTGCATGTTGGGTTCGGTATATGTGGAAATCACACGAAGTCGTTTGTTGAACAGAACTTGTACGTAACGATGTATACTTGGACCGTGTTGTGTACGGTTGTTCTGTGCGTCTTGTGGGATTTACATATTTGACTACGACCTCGTATGCTGTCCCCGCACCGCGAGAGTGGTTTAGAGCAAATCTGTGGTGTGTGTCTAGTGAATTCCCTGGCTTTTTACTTCAGAATTGCAGAGTTGTATATACCTGCTTGTTGTCCCTTTTCTCTCTAACCTCCCCCTCCATTCTCTCTTCTTCTATCTCCCCTCCATTCCCTTCCGATTTCTCTCTTCTATCTCTCCTCCATTCTCTATCCCCCTCATTCTCTCTTTTTCTATCTCCCCCTCCATTCTCTCTCTTCTTCTATCTCCCCCTCCATTCTCTCTCTTCTTCTATCTCCATTCTCTCTTCTTCTATCTCCCCCTCCATTCTCTCCTTCTTCTATCTCCCCCTCCATTCTCTCTCTTCTTCTATCCATTCTCTCTCTTCTTCTATCTCCCCCTCCATTCTCTCCTTCTTCTATCTCCCCCTCCATTCTCCCTTCTTCTATCTCCCTCCTCTCCCTTCTTCTATCTCCCCCTCCATTCTCTCTCTTCTTCTATCTCCCCCTCCATTTTCTCTCTTCTTCTATCTCCCCCTCCATTATCTCTCTTCTTCTATATATCTCCCCCTCCATTCTATCTGCACTCCCAGGAAGGCCATGGGGAAGTCAAATAAAGACAGAACTAAACAGGTCAGGACCTTTGACCCCGATGGCTACCGTCGCAGAGCCGATGCCATCATCTTTAGAGACACAGCCTTCAGAGAGGTACACCTTTAGAATACTTTTACCTCTAACTCATTCACTGATCGCAATTGCCAAGTTCCTTCGCTCCTACTCCGCAATCTTTTCTATCTTTGCATGCTGCCAACTCCCTATATACTTCATTCTAACCCACTACTCATGTGTCGATGGTGTTGTTTCGCTGATGTTGCCAATTGCCAATGAATGTATACTGAATCATGCATCATCTAATTCCATATTCAGCACTATTATAATACTTGAATGATTTAGAAGTACATGTCGTCGATGACGTAATGATTGTTACCTTGTCGATGGCATAATGATTGTTACTATGTATATCGATGACGTAATGATTGTTACTACTTCGATGACGTAATGATTGTTACTATTTCGATGACGTAATGATTGTTACTAAGGTGTTGCTGGTGAGCTCCAGAAGTGAGCCGGATAAGTGGACGGTGGTTGGAGGAGGGGTGGAGCCAAATGAGAGTGGGATGACCACTTCGGCTAGAGAGGCTCGCGAAGAGGTAAGGGAGGGAGGGAGGGAGGGAGAGGAGGAGAGGGAGGGAGGGAGGGAGAGAGGGAGAGGGAGAGGGGGTAAGAGGAATAGTAGGATTGAATATGGTAGAGTGGAGGGTTAGAACGAAGTAGGGAGTTGGGAGCATGCAAAGATAGAAACGATTGCGGAGTAGGAGCGAAGGAACTTAGCGATTGTAATCAGTGAATGAGTTAGCGGTATATAAAAGTATTCTAAATGTGTACTATGAACAAAACAAAGAATCATTTTCTGACTTTCTTCAAGCTCACAGTGAAACTCTCTTCGTCCACAGGCAGGTGTGGTTGGAACCGTGGACTCTTTCGTTGGTTCATTCGATGTGAGTTACAGTAGATCATGTGAGCTACAGTAGATCATGTGAGCTGTAAGCTAGCTTTTGTAAGTAAGCTTTGCTAGCTTTTAGCTGTAAGAGGGAAGGGTGAGGAATTCCTGTCTCTCTCCTTTCTTCTTCTTGCGGTTTTGGAAGCGAATGTGTTGGCAGCTTATCAGTCACATTACACTTTACTCATGCATGAGTATCATGTGACGTTTCTGTTCTGTCGTGTGATTGGTGTATGATGTCACTATGATGTCACCTGCAGGATGAATCGAGGAAGACGAGGACGGAGGTGTACATTCTGATAGCGGACCGTTTGGTGGAGACTTGGGAGGACAAGACAGATAGTACGTTTCTCTTTCACTTCTTCTCACTAGTTTCTCTTTTCTTCGCATCTCACTAGCTTAAAATTTCTTCCAACAAAGTTGGTTCTTTATCTTTTCTTTCCTCCTGGTCTATATATCAGGTCAACTGTTCTCCATTTTTAAAGTATTTACTTCTTCCTCTTTTTTTCGGTCTCCTTCCTATCTGCTCCCTGCCCCTCTCTCTTCCTATCTGCTCCCTGCCCCTCTCTCTTCCTATCTGCTCCCTGCCCCTCTCTCTTCCTATCTGCTCCCTGCCCCTCTCTCTTCCTATCTGCTCCCTGCCCCTCTCTCTTCCTATCTGCTCCCTGCCCCTCTCTCTTCCTATCTGCTCCCTGCCCCTCTCTCTTCCTATCTGCTCCCTGCCCCTCTCTCTTCCTATCTGCTCCCTGCCCCTCTCTCTTCCTATCTGCTCCCTGCCCCTCTCTCCAGTGGACAGACAGAGAAGGTGGTTCCCGGTGGACGAGGCAATCACCATCACATCTCGCAGACCTCTCAAGCAGAACTACCTAATAGCAGCCTGCAATCTCGCCGCACACCGTCGGGAGCAGCTAGCCTCTCCCCCCACTTCTCCCCCTCCCCCTACCTCTTCCCCTCATCACTCTCTCTTCTCCCTCCCCCGGCGTTCCGCCATACTGCCTGTTGCCCTCACCTGTATACTCGTCTGCTGTGCCAGTGCCTATTGTGTCTTCATGTTTTGACTTTTTTTCCTATGTGTGATCTACTACTTTGCCTCCTGTGTTATATATACGAGTTGTGAATTTTTTTAACATTAAGGGTGCAGTCGTGATAGTACGCATGCGCGCAATCATTACGTAAGTCTTTTTATGAGACTCGTCGAAGTGCGCATGCGTTGAAATTACGCGCTTCTCCGCGCACTAAGCAGTTTATCGTATATCGTAATGCGAAGAACAAGCAGCCATAATACTTTGTACGCGGAAACTACCGATGCTGAATATATACGGTCCAACTATAATAGAAGAGTGTGACCTGATCAGTGCTAGAACACTGAACAAGTGCAGCAAGCTAAGGGCTTTCAACAAAACTCACTGAACAACTTGTGCATAATTTATTATAACAGGCTTAGGATCAAGTGAGTGTGCTATGCAGTGAAGTATATACATACACAGTGTCAAAAACTTACAGAGAAGTTAGCTCTTCATTTATTTTACTGAGAAAGAACAGCTGTGATAGCTATACATATTATAGTAACGGTTTAGGTTCACAAGCAGCTAGGACGTGACATCTCTATAATTATAAACGATATTCACCCGCCGACGACCCGTTACTACCGTCATCGGTCCGTACTCACGCTGTGGAGCAACGAGATACAAACTTGGTGGTTATAATACAAACTGCGCTGTCTCAAATCTCACTACGCTCTAGAACCAAGCTTCAGGGGGTAGCTAAAGTCTACCTCTGCAGGTGGTTGAAGGAAAAAAATCGGTGCAGTTGGGCTTGCAAGCCGTGAGTGCTACTCGAAGTCCCGTCACACTGTCTGCGTTGCGTGGGAAAGTCTGCGTGGGAAAGTCTGCATACCGCGCATAGATTAGCTCAGCTGATTGTGGTCTTTCCATTGGCTTCTTCCAGCCAGCCGATACACACCCGCCACCGCAGGAAAATCACTGGAGCCTAGCGGACATCCGTATATAAACGACGTGGGAAGGAAACTACGAGGATATGGCACAGTTGAATACTGCAAAGAGTGAAGAGAAAGAGAGCCGTAAGACTAAAAGAGAGTCCCAATCAACGTGTGACGAGACGCTATCTTCCCCGATATCGTCCCCGCCGATGCTTGTCCCGATTGCACATAATCAACGACAACATCATGTTGTGCAGGCTGGAAACGGTTGTTCGGCACCGCAGCAACTACTTCAACATCATAACGGAACAGTTAGAGACTGCGCAGGAGGAGGAAGATCTGACTGCAACTTGTCGTGTGCGGGTATAGCTGCTGCGCATCTGCTCCACCATCAGCCGCAGGGAGCGAACACGGACGTTCCGCCGCTCCTCTCCTCCTCCGCGTTCGCTGGTGGCTACAGACGGGATGTGGCGCCTCTGCTCTTGCAGCAACAAGCCCAGCACAGCAACGGGGCGGTTCCCGCGAACGGAGAAGCCGTGCAGGTGGTGACGGGGAGAAGGGAGGGAGGAGAGGGAGCGCGCGGCAGAGGATTCGAGTTGCAAAGGCTCGCCGAGCACCAAGACCAGGGAAAAGGAGAAATGGTAGGGTGCAGCGGTAAGCAAGAGGGAGGGAACGGAGCGGGCGAAGGGCTAAACGCTGGTGCGGGCCAAGACCAAGCTGGAAGTTGTGCAAACAGGGGTAAGGGAGGGAGAAAGAACCACATAAAGCGACCCATGAACGCGTTCATGGTGTGGTCCAGCATCGAGCGGAAGAAGCTCGCCGAGCGTGAGCCCAAACTGCATAATACGGAGCTGAGCAAGCGACTCGGGCAGGCCTGGAAAGCCATGACGGAGGACGACAAGAAGCCGTTTCGCGTGGAAGCCGACAGACTCAAGAGCAAACTCATGGAAGAGCACCCCGACTACAAGTATCGTCCGCGGCGGAGGAAATTCGAAGGAGCGAACGGGGCGAAAGGCCCGACCATGTTTCTTTCTGGACTCAAAGCCGTCGGTGGAGGCTCGCTACGTGTCGTCGGTAGCACCAGCCAGCCGGTGGTAGCTGCTCGCAACTCACCGACAACGCCGCTGCCGATATCGTACTACAGCAGCAGTTTCACCCTCACGCCGCCCACGCCGTCCAGCGCTGCCTTCTCTGTCCCATCCACGGACGGGCGGTCCCCAATTCAATCTTCAGTCGTTGGCGGTGATTTGTATGGGGGTTACCCCTATCGCTATGCTGGATTCCCTGTGAACAGTTACTCGTACCCTGCCTCTCACTACATGTATTCCCTGGCTGGGAATCCTTCTTCAGCGAGTTTTGGGTACATGAACTATCGTCCCGATGAGGCAACGGGGCAGGCCAGTTATCCGATCGGACAGCCCAGCGCTGTTGCCTATCCGTACATCCTCCAGTCCAATCTGCAAGAGAACGGCCTTGCTAACGAAGGGTCTTACCCAGAGCAACACTCGAATCAGGGCGACTTCTCTCCGAGCAAAACACCCGTGGAACAAACGCCTGCAGTTGCTCTGGTGGGCCACGTGACCTTTGAGAGTAAACCACTGCTAACGAACGGGGGCTACCCCACTCCTCCTCCTTACATGGAGACACCTCCGTGCTCGCCCTTTGTCCAGTCTCCACACCTCAACACACTCAGTCATTCCGTACCGCTCACCCGGACAGAATCCTATAGCTCCGATCGGTCGTCGAGTACTCCAGGGGGGAGGCCCCTCTCGTCTCCAACCGTTGATTGTTCGTCTTCCAACAGTTTCCCCGCCCACCTCCCGTCTCCCACGGTAACGAGCAAGCCCCACCACGAGAGGACGTCATCCTCTCTAGAAATCCAGCGAGAGACGACAGTGATGACACAATCAGAAGGGGCGTCCCCCTCATTACGAAGCAGTCCCGTGGACCAGTTCAACAACGGAAGTCCCCCAGCTGCCGTCATAACATACCTGGACTCTGACTACACCCAGACCTCCCCCTACGACCAATACCCTGGGGGGCGAACCCCTCAATCTGCCGAACTTAACGGGAACCCTCTCCTCTCCCATCCGTCCCCCGCTCTCTCCCACCATCCGCCGTACGCCGTCGGGGTACCGAACCATTACTCCATAGCCTCGCACTCCGGAGTATTTACCACTTCTGCCGCAACCAATGTCACTTCTTCGTCCTCTGTTACCGTCGGTAACGGCCGCCCACAGCCGCAACGACGCTTGTCTGAAGCCCTCGGAAGAAGCCACGCCTCCTCCTTAACTACAGCCCGGCATAACAGAGGGAGCCCCTATATTAACGTCAAGGAATCAACCGATTCTTCGTCGTTCCACTCGCACACAGGTACAATTGATATTAGTCTGCCGACCCACGTCCAAGTAGGATACGGCGGTGGTAGTGTTACGCAATACGATATCCCGACACCCGATCTAACGCCCGAAAAAACGTCCAGCGAAGGAGGAACATATTTTTTCTGAGATAAGAAATCCTCACTTCAAAAATCAGAACTGAAAGCAATATTGTGTGTGCGTGTGTGTGTGTGTGTGTGTGTACCACCATCGTAATACGTTATTATGGCGTGTGTGTTAGCCTGTGTCTTTGTGTGTGTGTGTGTGCGTGTGTGAAATATATATCACTACCCATCTGTAAATTATTTTATTCCGAGTGATCACCACTTCAAAATATTGATCTATATCTGTCTATCTATGTACGTATATACCTATACCAGTTTGTTATATCCAAGAAATCATGATTTGTTTTCCAACCAATTATTGAACCAACGTCAAGCGCAAGCAACGTAATATTTTGAAGCGTACATTTTTTCCTATCTTCTTTTTAGCTCCTTCCTCTCTGGGCTGGTGTTTTCCTAATGAAACAGTCAAATCTAAAGGTTCCTTGTTGAGTATAGAGAATGTGGCTAAAGATCATTTTACCTCATTTTGCAATTCGCTAAAATATCCTTTTCTGCAAATACTACTGCAAGTTTTGTGTTTCTGCGGTGGTGTTGTAGGTTGTGTGGAACTAATGTTGTTTGCAGCACAGAACTATACACCAGTGGCTGGTGAAAGGTCAACAGAGTTATCAAAACTACCACATGGTGCAGTCTTCTAGTAATCCAGAGTAGAGCAATGTAATCTCTGGTCTTAGAAGGCATCACTGTATATACTATAATATAGGCTGAGGCTATAGTACTCTTCTGTCAATTTTACAACAAGATTCCAGGTGAGACACAGGGAATGGAGGAAACTTTGCACACTGTGATGGTGGGTACACGTGGTAGCCAGGGGGAAACGTTTTTGCTTATCATTCTCCACTTAGCTACAACAAGATTGTGGTAAAATCTTATGCAGTTTTAAAACCACGAAAATTGCTGTTTTGCTGGGTATCCCTTGCCTTATATAATACCCATGGAAGTGTTCCCCACAGTGCTTTAACTCTCAGGAATTTTTTAAAGATGCAGCCTGATATATACTAGGGAGGAAAAAGCTCTGAGGTTAATTTACAGAATTCCACCTTAGAGAGCTGTTAGCATGTACTAGGAGCATCTGTTATAGGGTGAGACTTGTTGACAGCTAGTTTGTTTCTTGCACTGGTCTGTGTGTTTGGAAAACCTATGGTGTCAAGAACTGCTCTCTTACATGGCTGAGGCTGAGCTACTGAAATGTTGAGGCAATAACACTCCTTATGTCAGCTGTAGCTTAAAAATAGGTGGTAGGAAAAGGTCAACTTACTGATATATACATGACATCATCTGCATTATTTTGCAGTATCTGTCCAGGTTAGGAAGTCTGAGCTGAGGCTATTCTAGGAAGAGCCCATAATTTGATTGTGAGTCAGGGTGGGCTGATTGTGTCCAGGTCACCTCTTTAGTTAGTTCCCTGTGTACTGTATATACCGACTCTTGACTATTTCTTGAGGACTTAAATTCGGCAGAGACATGTGACAGTCTCTCTGCAAAACACTTGTAATAACTACTCTTTGAATTTGTTGCAAAACGCTACAGTTACGTACACTTGTGACCTAAACACCAGTTTATGTTGGTTGCCGAGACGCAGATTAATTAGTCGTTTTTACCCGATCCTTCTCTTCTTGTCCACACCTTATACATAATATTTGCGGAAGGATACGCATCTACATCCATTTGAAATGTCATTCTAACAGCTCAAACCCTAGTTTTCCCTGATGCAATTGTGTTTGTCATTTAGACCCTCATTAAAGCCTTAGTTTTCAAGTGGCACTAGTGGAACACTCTCTACCCCTCCCCTCAGAAACTGTCTTGGTTTAGAAAGTTGGAGGCCGCTTTTAGCCCCTCCCATTGAACACCCGTTTCATCTCGCTCACCGCAAGTGGCCAAAGGGTCCAGAAACCTTGCCGGCTCCTGGCTTGGCGTTGAGTTATTGCCCAGGCGGTCCTGGGGTGACCACTGGGCTTGGCCTGGCCAGATGTAGTGAGTGGATTACCACTGGGCGAATAGCAGTGTTGCCCACACTCTACTTAGCTGTATCAACACACAGCCTGCTGTGGTAGGCTTCTCTTCTGCATAGTTTTTGCCTGTGCTATAATATACGTACTACTATCTTATTGTGCAGATAAAAGAGAGACACTATAATAGTATACAAAAATGTAAATGGGTTTAGTGTGGATTCCTGAAATTTAGTCCTTTGGCTTTAAAATAGTTGATGTCCAACTAATAATAAATGTGAAAATTGCATGCATGCAGTCCACGTGCCCCGTGTGTATTGCAGATGCATACTTTGAATTAAAACGAGTGTATTTGGTCTCTATTTGGTGATGTCATTTACGTTGTAGAGTGATGACATCATGCACGTATGTTGTACTATATCATACAGTGGACTTGTGTGTTTTGGCCGTTAGCCCTTTCAATTTGACATGGCCCTCTCTGTGTCTCCATCTTTACCTCTCCCTTTCTCTACTAATTGCAAGTGCAAGTTTACCCAGCAGGACTTCTGTATATACACCAGCATTGTAATTATCCCATAACGTAGCTATGTAGCAAATTTATGTAGTATGGGACTGTAAAGAAGTTTTTAAGTTCATTGGACCAGTGTCAACTTGCTGCCACAAATTAGTGTGTACAAGCTGTAGCAACTGGAGGCCAGTTTATACCACACTGGGATTTGATGTGGGCCCATAACTGGTAAATCTGCCTGATAACCAACAACCCCAGGTATGCCCATTTATTAGCCATGTAAACACCTCATTTGGGCATGGTTTTGCTCAGAAATAATTCACATGTTTTTTTATACCTACTGTGGAAAATTATTAGAATGACACTTGGGAGACCTTGCTTTTCGCCAAAAAATTATTCTTCAAGGCTTTTCCAACACGTGTAATAATTATTATTACACAGTGTGGTTGTTGCTGCAACGATTATATTATATGCAGCACAAAGTGAAGTAAAGTGCATATAGGGGAAGGCCTGGGAACAAGGTTGTAAAAATTAGAATGTCCACGCAGGAGAGTATCAGCATATAGTGGAAATTTTCACTTTCCAAATAGTTGCTACAAGTAAGAGAGTGAGATTATTGTAACCAAAAGACGTACATAGACATGCATGTGTGTGTACTATAGAGAGCAGTTGAAACTGTGGTTACCGTAACTACTATATACAACTCCGTCTTACGCACAGTGTGTGAGTATTAGGAATACACATACCCGCTGGGCAAAAAACTTTATGCCATGATTTTCAATTCTGCAAGGTCTAGAAATAAACTGTGTTTACTATGAAGAGGGAGCAGATAGGAAATGAGTCACCCTTGATTGGGTGTTTCCATCCTGTGGTTGCCATGGTAGCAGGAAACCAGCTTCCTGTGGGTGGGTGAGGGGAGGATTAGAGCCCACATCTCCAGACACTGTTCACCTAATTGGCTCTGCTGCTGGAAAATGCTTCACTTAGCACCACACACCAATTGGAGTTGCTGATATATTTCCTTACACTGTTGTTCTGATCAATTTCCTGGTTGTAGCCTTAGTGCTATATCATTTCTGCAATACTTGGTCCTCTGTCTTACATTGTAAAAACTGTTGGTTTATCGAAAGTGTTTAAAAAGGACACCTCACTAGTAAGGGCACTTTAGTTTGGGTCAGTTCTTCATGTAAGACTGCGTTTTGAGTCACGAAATCTGCTGGTCAGCATTTTCATTGTTTTTTGTCTGTCCTGGTTACAATCCCCACAATACCTCTAGCACAAGGGTTAAGTAAGAGAGCTCATTACAGAGTGGAGCTATGGAAGGTATGTGGTGGAGTTATGCCGCTGGACGGGGCATGAGGTATGGGAGGTTCTCAGATGTGGTATGAGAGGCAACAATGGGACAGTGTGCTACTGGTATTTCGGATAACAGGTTCAGGTAGTAAACAATGGCCGATCCAGCAAGAATATACCAGGCCACTACCTGCCTGCCTTGACTGTCGCATGTATATACCAGTGTGCCAGAAGTATTCCTAGTGTTTTGGAGTCTACAATACCACTGCTATACTTGTATATGTAATGCTTGTAGTGTATAGTAGAGATTACTGTATGTTAAGTGCACCTTCAAAGTGAGTCAGTGTTCTCATTGTATGGAGGCTATTAGGCAAAAACAGCAATTGGGTGGTGTAAAAATAAACGGAATCAGCTGTGTGACAATCAATGTAAAAGGCCACCTCAGCTGCTCAATTGTTGGCAACTTCTCCAATGAGTCTGGTTAACTCCGCCCTCTTTCAGCTCCAAAACCACAAAACTGTACAAAGAAGATGGTTGTGCTGAGATTAAGTTACTGCCTACTAGCAGTGAAAAGAAATGTGACAGTACGAAAATTAAGGGGTAACTCAAAATTTCAATCTACCGGGGGCCCTATTGTTTAGTTTCATCTTCAGTAAAATTTAGCCCTCATGTACTGACACGTTCCCTATAAAAGAGATATCAAGAGAAAACTTTGTTGACTTGTTGAGTTCGTGAGCTTCCAATTGCAGAGCACCTCCAAAGTGTGCGGGCACGCAGTATAGTCGGAAATGATAATTGTGTAAAAATGACAATCTTCCATTATACGTGGTTGGTTGGGTCGGCAAGACACGCAGGCCAAAACTCGAAACTTGCCCGCTGGCCCATTAACTGTTAACTACATAAACCACCGTAGTATATACTATAGCATGAAGCTCAATATAAGCCACATTATCAAAACCCACTACATATACCCTTGCCATGAGTATATACATACGATAGAGTGCTGATGCAATGCACATGACCACTCTGTAAAGCATACGCATCCAAACTGAAAGTCGGTGCTGTGTCATTTCCATGGAACGTTCCATGTGGAGGGTATAATCTTTGGAGAGCATGTGGTTTAGACGTGTGTGTAATTTCAGAGGTTCTTAGGAAGTTGGGTGAGAGGACGGATGGCGAATAAAAGGAGGGTATTTTTGGGGTGGTTGCATGCTGGCTGTGCAGACAGACAGTGCGGTGCTATGCTAGGTGTACAGGCAGTGTTGTGGGGGCGGTGGTGGGGATTTATCCCTGCTTCTTACTAATGAGACCGGCTTCTCTTTTTGGAATTTCATGAGCACTACAGTTCTCTCTGTCTATGTAGCTGTTTTCTCTCTGTCTAGCTTGTGGTGCAATGCTTCCAACAGCACGGTTTTCTCCATACTTTGTACAGCAAAAGACAAACTCTTTAATATACGTCCAATGATGATAATATACATCAAACAGAGGGAGCACTTAAAAGGGTGTAGCAAGTATAGTAGCAAACACTGAAAAGCTGCTTGAGGACGAGTCATACTTTCCCAACAGCCTCCCTCCTCTCCTCTCCTCTCCTCTCCTCTATAATTAATTACTTCCCTTCTCAGTGCATGTATTCACTTGCTTTTGAGCATAATTGCACACCTGCTGGTGCACTAGTAGAACAGTCTTCACCCATTCTGATATACTAACGCTATATATACTCCTCACTACACTAGTTTTCACGCTGATCTACTGCAATATATAGAACCATTACTACAGGTCGAGTTTTGATGGTCTAGCACACGTGTCAATCTGACAGGATACGTGAGACTTAGATATGGTACTGGCTAAACATACAGTGGAGTGGCAGGAAACTACACATACAGCACTAGAAGTGTACACAGTCTAATGGCAGTTTTGGCAGTTTGAACTCAAAACTAGAGTGAAGACTTTTATTCATTGCCATCTGTGCACTGGTGGCGATGATTGGTTACTCTACCACTGCTGTGCATCTACTTGTGTTATGTATGTACCTCTGCAGAAGAGGGAAGGGTAGGGGGAAGCATGGACTAAAGGATAGAAAAAGAAGGATGGAATCAAAGTTGAAGAAAGGGAACAAAAATAATTTTTTAAAAACTACACAACACAAACTGTGTGTGTGTGTGTGTGATCTCTGATTTAACACACACGTGTTTTGCTGCATGTAGAGCCTACTCCAGTCTCCTATCAGTCTGTGGAGCGGTGGAACAGATGCACACTGGTTGGTAGCCATCCACCATGACCTGCACATGATCCCAATCTACCTACTCTATCACCAGTGGTATCTACCACTGGTCGGGGTGGGGATGTGGCTCCAGACAGGAACTATGGTGAAGCCTCTATCTTTACCTGATAGAGAGAGACTGGAGTATGCCTCTAACCTCTACACCTGGTGGAGAAGATTTATCCTGGAGATCTACTATAACTCTACTTACTGACTGCTTCAGACATGGTCTACCTACTGAATGGTGAGTAGATGCAAAGGTAACTAATAATAGTAATACTCAATAGCACTAGGGCCATAGACCACGCACCCAGAGCAATGGGCGGAACCGTTAACAAACTAATTAACATACACCATATGAACATGCGGTGTCTGTCTCACCTCCCAGACACCTCAACTCACATCCTTCCACCAGTGACACCCTGCAGCTCCCCAGACGCAATCTGAGACTGGGTCTGTTGTACGCTGGGATTATCGCTGTATAACCTAACCTTTCTTAGCTCCCAAACATCCGAAATAAAACCTTTAACAAGGCGAAGCAAATGCAGATCAGAGGTAACTAATGATTGGCTTACAAAAGCTTCAATGGGTGCCCCATACATCACCTGTGCTTGTATGCTGCATCCATATTTTAAGGAGGAATTGTTTTTGTATTTACCACTTACCAACGTGCTTGGTATGGGAGGGTGTGCCCTTACTTATTATCTGTTTAGAGGAGCATTTTGAACATGACAGCAAAGTAACTATGTGCAAATTATGAGCCTGCATGGCATTGTTGCAACCACTAGACCATTACAAAATTTGTCAGTGATGACTTCATTACGTCTGCTATAATTATACTTTCACTGTGAATATAAAAAAGACCATTCGTGGCCCTGAGTTGTTGAAAGGAAAGAAGAATTACTAACGTTCATACACACAAGGATTCACTAGGTGAGGTATTTCTTTCACTATATCCTGCTCTCTTCCTCCTGCTGACATCCTGTCCCAGGAGCTGAGTGGAAGAGGAGTGGAAGTGGAGTGGAAGTGGGCAGATGCACTGAGCAGGAAATGATGGCAAACCACTGGAAATGCCTCTCCCCACAATATCACTGTCATTATACTTGCCCCTCTGCATGTTCTCTCTGTGTATATTATCCATCCTCCTGCACCATAACAACTCCGCTTAATATTAGCTGCAACTTGTCAGCATCAACCTCCAAAAAAATCTATGATTATAGCTAAATGGCAGCAGTAGAATCATTGGACATCATTAATTCACCACGCTCTATCTGTAGCCCAAGTTTTGGAGGTAATCACGCTTACGTCATCCAATGACGATGTTAAACTGCATGCTTTACACTTATACATCCCTGCTCTGTAAGCAAATGTAGCAGAAATGTATGTACCTTATGCAGCCACTGAGGAGCATGCACAGAGTTTTGCTATACACGCAGATTCCTTGATGAACGTTGTTGGCTGAGGTGGTCAGGTCAGCTAATATCTGTGTGTCCAGGCTGGCCAAGGCATGCAGTCTACAGCTGGCCTGAGGAGTGGCCTATCTGGAGTCTGCGGTGATAGTGTACAGTTATATTGTCCAGAGATCAGCTGGCCGTGTAGTGGAGCATAAGACATGGGAACAATACACATTTCATTGTCTGGAATGAATGGAATGGCAGCTGAGGTTTTAGTCTAATTCCCCTCTTTTATTAGCCCTCTGTGCGCATGCGCAGCGAGGGTTACAGTAGTTGGTTTGTGTGTGTTTGTGATTGGGGAAAGAAGAGAGAGAGGTAAGGTGTAGGCAGGACTAAAGCTAACGAGAGAGGGCGGGCGGCTTTTGTCGGCGTTACCGCATGCAGCCAGCCAGGTGCTTAAACGTACATGTAAACCTATCCACAAGTCCAGCAACATGCAGGTGCAGTGCTAGGCTCTTTGTTACTGGTCATCAGGGGAGTTCCCAATCTTTCACCATGTCACACGTGTTTCGGCCTCTTTAAACTCCCGACACGTGAGACACTCCAGAAAGGGCGAGGCCACTCCACCTGGTTGGAGTCCAGATTTGCCTACTACATGGCTACAATTACTGTACTTACAAACTAACCTACATTATATGAAGGCAATTTTAGTATAGCAGCTACGTATCCTTAGTAATAACTTGCTTCATTCTTTGGTCTTCTCTATTCTTCACTTCTTTCTTTCTTCACTCTTGCTCCTAACTGCATGAGCTACTACAGGCAAGCTTGGCTGTTTTATACCTTGTTGTGGATGTTATGTCTACTAAAGTCAAAACTTCCTATAGAGTGTGCGTGTGTGTGTGTGTGTGTGTGTGTGTTACCATGTTTTCTGCCACCAGGCGCAACGAGACAGCCAATAAGCTAAGCGGAAGACCACGAGTAGACGCATACTACAGCCCAGCCCTTCAATTAGCAGTATCACGCTTGCGCAGTTCGCCGAGGGTTTGCACTTTAGGGCCTATAATTAGTAGTAAGTGGCATTAGCTATGCATTGTTCTACATCTGACAGGTTTAATAATTTCTCTCATGCAGATTTCTCTCTCTCTTCCCTGTGACATCGCATCCTTCTGGACCGCATGGTGCTTACATACATTCTTTGGTGGATTTAAAACTGGAATGGTCTGCAGTGAAAATCAGTAGTATTGCTCAATAAGACTGGTATATAGTGCAATGGTGTTACTGTGTGGTAGTGTAATAGACAACACTTGCATTTTCTCAACTGAACTCACGCTTACATTTTCTCAACTAAACTCACGCTTACATTTTCTCAACTGAACTCACGCTTACATTTTCTCAACTGAACTCACACTTACATTTTCTCAACTAAACTCACGCTTACATTTTCTCAACTGAACTCGCGCTTACATTTTCTCAACTAAACTCACACTCACATTAACTCAACTAAACTCACACTTACATTTTCTCAACTGAACTCACACTTACATTTTCTCAACTAAACTCACGCTTACATTTTCTCAACTAAACTCACACTCACATTTTCTCAACTAAACTCACACTCACATTTCCTCAACTAAACTCACACTCACATTTTCTCAACTAAACTCACACTCACATTTCCTCAACTAAACTCACGCTTACATTTTCTCAACTGAACTCACACTTACATTTTCTCAACTGAACTCACACTTACATTTTCTCAACTAAACTCACACTCACATTAACTCAACTAAACTCACACTTACATTTTCTCAATTAAACTCGCACTTACATTTTCTCAACCAAACTCACACTCACATTTTCTCAACCAAACTCCCTATCAAGCAAGTGCAACTGTGAACCCAACCTTGTTATTACAATTCCAAGTTTATCAAGAGCTACCCACAGGCCATCCTTCTTCTCATCCACTCCCTATACCACCACTGCATTATGCATATGTTTTGGCAGTATATATATGCAGTGGAGGTGGTTATAGTGCCTACCGGCCCCATAGCTGCCAGATGCTCATGTGTATAATAACTGCAGCTGGTAGTTTACACCGCTCACTGCTACAGTATAAGGAAGTCTGTCTGTCTGTACTCACTCAGTAGATTTCCCACTGGGAGACCCACAGCTGGTCACTCAGAAATTGACAGAACTTGAGACCTCATAAGAATATATATACCCACACTAGCTTTTAGGTAATGATGACTTTTAGTAAAAATTGGCATAAAAAGCACAAGGTTATAAAAAAATCCAGAGTCACTCAGTCTTCTTGTATTGTCACTTTCCTGACGGGGGCGGCCCTGGATCTATTGCTCAATGATGACCCCACATCTCCCGTGGTGGGAGGAGCATCTCTGAAATCAGGCTCTGCCATCCCAAACTCTGGGACAAGATTTGAGCTCCGTGTCACGGACGGTTTTCGACCCTCGCTCCAGTCGTGAGCGACTTTCCTCAGGTTGAGGAAGACACCGCGAGGCCGTCGGCCACCATCGGCGATGTCGTAGGCACCTTGTCTCGAGGAGCAGCAGCTGCACAGACCTCCTTTCCCGGAACTTTGAGATACAACTGTGTGTGCATGAGTGAAATAATATTACGTAATACTTGTCGCCGCCGGCAACCTTTGCCCTGTATATACATTATTCATGGTTCTTACTTCATACACATTAAAAGGAGTACGCCCAATTGTAATAACCCTGTCAGTGGAATCATCTCCATCTGTAAAATGAGCCCCTTTAGAACAGCTTACTGCTTACAGCTTAGCTTACTTTAAACTTTTAAACGCACAATCTAATTGATACATATTCCTGATTCAGTTGAAACACTATACCACCCTGATTCAGTTCAAACACTATACCACCCTGATTCAGTTCAAACACTATACCACCCTGATTCAGTTCAAACACTATTCAACCCTGATTCAGTTGAAACACTATTCAACCCTGATTCAGTTGAAACACTATACCACCCTGATTCAGTTCAAACACTATACCACCCTGATTCAGTTCAAACACTATTCAACCCTGATTCAGTTGAAACACTATTCAACCCTGATTCAGTTGAAACACTATTCCACCCTGATTCAGTTCAAACACTGATTCAGTTGAAACACTATTCCACCCTGATTCAGTTCAAACACTGATTCAGTTCAAACACCATTCCACCCTGATTCAGTTCAAACACCATTCCACCCTGATTCAGTTCAAACGCTCTGATATGCACCAAGACATTTTAGTCTGAAAATGAAACTTTGAAGCTCGCAGCTCTGTCTGGCTAAAAGATCTACCACCAACTTGGTAAGCCTTTGGACTCCAAATTCATTCATTCGACGGAAGGTCCATTCCATACTCACAGTATTCCTTTAGACCCTTGCGGTACTGCTTCAGGAGGTAGAGGAACACCAGCAACACCAGCACCGCTATCACCAGGTTTACCACTCCTTCACAAAACAACAGAGTGACATCAACACCCATCCATTATTTGTAGCTCATACAGGCTGTAACAAAATGTGCACATCTAAATTTTGCTAAGGCCAGCAATGTGCTAAACCAAATTAATGCTTATTATCAGGATCACCACCCCCTTTCCTCCCCTCGGCCCTCACCAAGAAGAACGAGGTGTTCGAACTGCTCGATGCGGTCGACAATTTCTCGCACCGTCGAGCTGCTGCTGTTGGTGCTGAGTTGTGCCTCGATGTAACGGACCTCGTCCTCCACATCGCTCACCTGCTCCTGACACAGCGGACACGACCTCGTGGCATACCTATTATTATTATAGTACACATGTCAACAACAGAACTCAAAGCATAGGCAAACAACCCAACTACACTCAGAACAAATATTACTTTTTTTAGTGGGATTTTTCTTCCTATTTGGTGGGTTTGGGGAGAGAAAATCGGAGAACTCTAGAGAAGTGCTTACGGGAAAGCACAGGATATGTCTTACACTACTAAGTTAGCTCTTGGACACCATAGGTATCTCCTTAAATAAGCAGAAATTGATGTTAACACCTAGGATTATAGCCATATTCCTATGGACTTATGGAGGCTCTGGGCATATATATACGCCTGTGGCTTGCTAGGGGTTTTTATTAAGCCGTGCAAGAGATGAACATATACACATCTTTAATAGCACGGCAAAATCCAATGTGTAAACAGCAGTTTTCCACGTGGATTTTCTGCCAGTTTTCTCTAGAACTTGAGGGAGTGAGTGAAGACTGATCATCACGAGTGTTAAACATTTTGGGGTTTTGTACGTTACAATGGTATATATAATTATTATACTTACAGTTTTGTAGATATAACATCAATTGTAGATCAATATTACTAATAATTTGTTTCTTGCATACCTGAATATCTTGTAGGCATTGTAGGCAATGACTGCAATGTCGGTGACAATGAGACCAATGGAGCCAAGGATATGCTCACGGCGGACCTGAGGATTGGGAGCAATAAAGAACTCTTGTGAAAATAATATAACTACTAGTTAAGACTGAATGCTATTAATTTGGTGGTATAAGGGTTAAATTTAGTTATACTGTATATACATATATACTCACTAATAGTTTTGACTTACAATGAACCGTGTGAGGGGAAATGCAGCGAGAGCAAATGGGACGAGTGCAAAAATGACGACCCAGAATTCATAGTTGATGTTGTTTTCATCGACGTAGAGGAGGAGAATGCACTGAGAGAGCAGGAATATCAGCTGCGGGAAATGAAATGGTAGAGAGGAGAGAGAGGAGAGAGAGAGAGAGAGAGAGAGAGGAGAGAGAGGGAGAGAGAGAGAGAGAGACAGCGGAATCACCACCCCTCATAGCACCAACAATCCCATCTCATAGGACGTAACTACATAGTAACACATACTTCTACATGTATATTTCAGAGTGTGCAGCAGTATTGCGCAACACATTTGTAGTGTGTTTTGGCAACTGCCTACTGATCCCATACTCCCCTTATTGTACTGTTTATGTGCAAAGAAAGGGTTTTGTTGTTGTTCGTGAGAGAGAGTGGAAATGAATAAAGGAAGGTTTCATAGGCAGAGAAAGAGGGAGAAACAAATAAACGGACGTGGCAGTAGGAGTTGTTGTTACCATGAATAGAATGAGAAGCTTGACTCCACTCATGACCACTTCGTACACTCGGTAGTACCCTGTGTGTGGTGTGTGTGTGTGTGTGTGTGTGTGTGTGGAGGAAACATTAGTATTCATGGCTCAGTGTGTTAATAGTATGGGATCAAATTGCTACCACTTCCTTAATAAGGCTCTTTGTTTTTGTAAACACTAAACAAGCACCATATCCACACAATGACATCATTCTGATGTAATCCTAAGTCATAACCTTCTATGCCACTTAATGTGCAGGAATGCATAGCGGATGTAAACTAACCCTTTGGACGTCATGGGGATCTGCTTAAATAAGCAGAAATTGATAAAGTATTAGTAGCCTATAGCGTATTATAACTCCCATATAAATCCTTATGGACTTGTGGACACATTTTATGTGCCATGGCTGGTTAACTGGTAGACATTGGGGATATGCAGCGATAGAATACATAACGTATGAATGGGCACATGGAATGGGTGCCTCACATCTAAGATCAGAGTTGCAGCCGACTCTAGTGTAGATCTTCCAGCCAAACTCCACGTAGATGAATCGTGACATCACCACAAACACAACCGTGAACACTATCAGCAGGAACCCCTGCAATAATAAGAGACAGAACTGCCTCCGTATTGGCTCCATTCTTCATGCAATGTTTTAATGTCCCCTCACTCCTCTCTTTCTCCTAAATATTGCCCACTCCAAAACTATATATAGAGGAACCTGTCACTGACTATGTTAAAGATTTTAACCCCCCACCAGCTGGTAGAGCGATCGTCTTGACTGCAGAGTGTCGTGGGTTCGAATCCCACCAACCCAGGGCAGCTCTTCTTTCTTCCTTGGAAAAATATCTCCCTCCCTCCTCACAAACTCACGTTGGCCAACGCGAGGTAGCCGACGGTGGTGATGAGGTCACAGTCGTCTCCAAACCCCCGGAACTGAAAGACCTGGACTCCGGCATACCCAATAGCCAACAGGTTGATGACTAGGAACATGTACACCTCTACAATGTTGTGGACCTTCAACTAAAGATAAAAGGAAAACCGACTGTAAATCTAACGGCTGTCATAAGAAGCAGCGTTGAACACGGGGAAAATCGTGTAGTGTGACTAAAATCAGGTTGGCTTAGTGGCAACTAAAATCAGGTTGGCTTAGTGGCGACTAAAATCAGGTCGGCTTAGTGGCGACTAAAATCAGGTCGGCTTAGTGGCAACTAAAATCAGGTTGGCTTAGTGGCGACTAAAATCAGGTCGGCTTAGTGGCGACTAAAATCAGGTCGGCTTAGTGGCGACTAAAATCAGGTCGGCTTAGTGGCGACTAAAATCAGGTTGGCTTAGTGGCGACTAAAATCAGGTCGGCTTAGTGGCGACTAAAATCAGGTCGGCTTAGTGGCGACTAAAATCAGGTCGGCTTAGTGGCGACTAAAATCAGGTCAACGTTTGGTGTCTACCTTCCTTGCTCACAATTGCACACGGCTTTTAAAGATAATTTGGACAAACTGGATTCACTACTCAACGATTGGATAAGCCCAGTGCTGTTGTTTGAACTGTGGCTTGACTTCAAGTCCATGTGGACAGCCTGTGGCAAGTGTGCTGAAAACATGGGTATATGTATATTATACCTGGCAATAAACTTACGGCATAGATGCAGAGAGCAAAGTTGTATAGCACGAGAGATATGAAGAAATAGACGTACACCTCCTTGTCTCTTCCAAACGTCTGCAGATTGCGAGAAAGAGAGAGAGGGGGGGGGAGAGAGAGAGAGAGCAGAATTACTCATGAAAGTTCCTTAATTGCGTACTACTGTTCCATGTGCCTCGTCTCTCAATCAAGGCTCACTGGCATATATACTGAAAACGTTCAGAATTCTCCTGTTGCATACATGAGTATATACGCTCACGGGGAAGGTGATGTTAGCCGGGAGTTCAGTACTGCTGTCATATCCAATACTCCTCTCGAAGCAGTCGACGTATTGGCTGAGTCTATCACCCCTGAAGTTACCCAGGACTGCTATAGCCACCTGAAGACCGAGGATTAGGGCAGCTGTGGCAGAGAGAGGGGAAGAGGCATTATTGTATAGGCTGGCTTTGGAGAGAAGTATGGATTACTCAAAACTGGAGTACGATCAACTTCAAAAAAGATCCCTTTTTCACGTATTTGGAGTGTTCTAGTGGTAGTGGGTGTGTCCAGGTCGAGTTGGTAACACAGAATCCCGAGTCAAGCATGCCACCACCGTCTCCATGGTTACTGTGTTTGTTTGCACCGAGAACCACACCGTACAAACGGCACATTCCTTTCCTCGTGTCCGTTTCGGTTAAGAAGCGCACAATGTTTCGTTCATACTTCTTACAACACTCTATACTTAGCTCTCTCTCTCTCTCTCGTCCTTTCATCCCCTGCTTCTCTTTCTCTTTCCCTCTCCCTTTCCACCTCTACCCTAGATCTGCCATACAATGAAACCGCTCCATAAAGAGGACACTGTGCTTCTGTCCCATACTAATACTTAGTGCTTTATGAATAAGTGGTGCTCTGAATAAAGGGCACTTTCGACTGTTTCACTGTAAAACCCAGCCACAGGGAAATCCAGAAGGACATAGAAGGTCACAAAATCCATATTTCTAGCTCAGAAAAACACCACCCTACTAGCTAGCTTCCACAGGCAGGCTAAGTTCACACAATGTGCCCTGTCGCGACGTGCCGCGTCGTGTGGCGCCGCGAAGATAGCTATCCTCGCGACGCGGCTAAGCGGAACGGCGCGACGGGCCAACACAACATATCGTGAACCCAGCCTTCACCTTGCAAGAAGGCGGCAACAAGGAAGAGCCACGACCAGAAGCTGAGTCCGAGACAGAGCACTTTCTTTTTTCTGCTGCTTCGCGGCAGTCTCTTTGAGTAGTCCTCCTCTGTCGAGGTGTGAAACATGGTTGACAGTGGTTGTCTGTGAGGAAAGAGAGAGATCATGTACATACACACTTCACCAGCCAGTCAGCTGTTCCTACACCAATTCTACATAAAATACACGTTTTGCACATGTACATAATACAAGTCACAAGCTGGGTTGCTGCCATGTCCGACATGAAAGCGTTTTGGAAGGGCGTGAGTTTATAGGGTAGAGGACTATATTATGGGCTCTTACCATAGATTATATTGTCCGCCCGCTCCACGAAAGAGGCAAATAGACTACATATCTTAGGTTACACAAGCTACAAGTACCTGTATTTGTCGGAGCCAATGTACCGACGTTGTCGTCCCTCTCCCTCGCCGCCGCTTTCAACGTCGGACCCGCCTTTTGACACTCTCTTCTTTCCCTCTTCCCTTTCGAGTAAACTGGCTGACCCGCTTCCCTCCCCGTTCGCCTGCTTCTCGCCTTCCATGGCCCGTTTCAAAATTGTCTTTTTCTCGCTTGTTTTGGGCTGCTGAGCTAACGCATGCGCTTATGGACATTTATGCGCATGCGCAACAACTTACCAATGGAGACTGTGTCCGACCCATAATACCTGTCACCAGGTGCATATATAGGCAAAGGACGCGACACAAAGTGTTGCCAGAGTCAAAGCAAGTAGAGGCAGACGCATCATTTTCTCTTCTCCTCCCCAGTGAGTATCCTCAGTAGCTAGGTATTGGCGGACCAAGTTTGCTGGTTTAGAATGTGAGATGAAAGAAGACTTCGGGTTTTATAGGCTTTCCCAACATACTTCCCTACATTTTACTTATTACACAGGTTCCTTCAACAGGTTTCAGGCGTTGTGATTCTTCTTGGCCAGTTTAGACTAAGTATTACCAATAGAAGGACATGATTAATTGAGAATTACTGCAGCTATTTCAGGTTGAAAAAGAGCAAAGTCTCCATATTAAGTAAAGTTGCCAAATTATATTGGCTCTCTTTGGTCTGAACACAATAAAGCACAAGTTCATCAGTGTCTTGTGTGACCATCTCACTTACAATTATGAGGATTAGTGTCCCATTATTATTATTGACGAAATTGTCTGGGGGGAAAGTTATCGCTCCACGAGGTTTTGTTTGTTCACTTGGTTTTCACGCCATAACTTTAGAACGCAGTATTGAAAACGAAAATCGCCTTTTTTTAAATCAAGCCAGTGTAGCAATGAACCTGTTACTATCGCTCTTTGGCCCATTTCTTGCGCGTGGTGGCAGAAAACGTGGTAACAGACAGACAGACAGAGGAACAGATGGATGGACAGACGGACACACTTACGAACCAAGTACCGTAACCCTCGCTGCACATGCGCGCCGAGGGTGAAGTGGCAGACCCAACTTATTCTCTAAATCACAGATCACAACTAAAAACATCTACTATTGTATAATGTTCAGTCACTTTTACTGCAGCATCAGAGAAGACGAAACTTCCAGGGCTGCTTTCACAAACAAAATCTTCTTGACCCCCCTATTGGATAGCATGTTCCACTGCAGCATTGCGCATGTGAGCTGCAGCCTTGACGCGGAGGAGTGCAACCTGTATATATAGAAGAAGGGGGAGAGAAAGATATTTTAAGTGTTGATTTTACGCACAATGTGCATTGCACGATGTTGGGAAAACTGACTAATCATGGATCATGATTTCACTGACCGATATTTAGCTATCACACGAGACAGTAGGTAACTAATGTAGCTAGCTACTTCAATAAAACCTCTGGGTTTCATGAAAAATTGTATAGAGCAATCAAACACACTGAAGAGAGAGGCAGATGAATATCATTAACCGATATCCTTAAACTATCGATGGATCTGAAAATGGTGTTATCTGACCAAAATTACATTAGGTTCTGATCCTGTCACTTACGCTGCACACGAGCTGGTTCTGGGTAAGGATAGTAGGCCCTTTCAGCCTGACCATCAGCCATGTCAGGCTGAGGATAGTGGACCCTCTCCCTCTTAGCAGGATAGGCAGAGGAAGCCACCAGCAGGGTAGCCAGAGCCAAGGCAAGAAGAGTCAGACGCATTTTCTCTCTCTCTCTTTCTTGTAGTCTCAGTGAGTTACCTCAGTTGTTGGGTTGACAGAAGTTGCAGCTTTCGGATTTAGAACTTGTCTGTGGTTTTATAGGCTGTGGATGAACACATAATTATGTTGCCAACATACGTAGCTACGGCTTTCCCGACATACTTCCCTGGTTCATTCAACATTTACCTATAATTACACAGGTTCCTTCAACAGGTTTCAGGCATTATGATTCTTCTTTGCGAGTTTACACTGATAGAAGGACATGATTAAGAATTACTGCCGCTATTTGAGGTTGAAAAAGAGCAAAGTCACAGCAAGTAAAGTTGCCAAATTATATCGGCTCTTTGGTCTGGACACAATAAAGCACAAGTTCATCAGTGTGTTGTGTGACTGTCTCACTTACAATTATGAGGAATAGTGTGCCATTATTAACCCTCGGCGCGCATGCGCAGCGAGGGTTACGGTAGTCGTTCTGTGTGTCTGTGTGTGTCCGTCTGTCTGTGTGTCTGTCTGCGACTATTCTCGCACTACAGGCTACGAGGCGGCTAATGAGCGATACCAACAGCGTTAGCGGTACATGGGCTAGAAAATAAAATGGCGATTTTGCTGAAACGACTGCGTTCGAGAGGCAAAGGAGTCGACACAAAGTGTTGCCAGACAGACACACAGACAGACGGACACACAGACACACAGAACGACTACCGTAACCCTCGCTGTGCATGCGCGCCGAGGGTTAATAATGGCACACTATTCCTCATAATTGTAAGTGAGATAGTCACAAACACACTGATGAACTTGTGCTTTATTGTGTTCAGACCAAAGAGAGCCCATAAAATTTGGCAACTTTACTTATGGAGACTTTGCTCTTTTTCAACCTCAAATAGCTGCAGTAACTCTTAATCATGTCCTTCTATCAGTAATAAACTCGCAAAGATAAGATAATGCCTGAGAACACTTTAGTGCATACACCTCACCGTAGCATTATGTACACTTTACTTATAGGCATGGTATATACACACGACATACAGAAATAGCTACACTGTATGTAGTTCAAGGTCTAGTTTGTGATACATCACTCCTACCATTGTATGTGCAGTGTACGTGGGTCACATTTATTAAAAAAATCCCACATTCAGGCACATATCCTACAATAAATTCTCAGGCATTATCTTATCTTTGCGAGTTTAGACCAATTATTACTGATAGGAGGACATGATTAAGAATTACTGCAGCTATTTGAGGTTGAAAAAGAGCAAAGTCTCCATAAGTAAAGTTGCCAAATTATATCGGCTCTTTGGTCTGAACACAATAAAGCACAAGTTCATCAGTGTGTTTGTGACTGTCTCACTTACAATTATGAGGATTAGTGTCCCATTATATTATTATAAAAGGCATACCTCACTTTAGCATTATGTATGCTTCACTTATATGCATGGTATATACACACAACATACAGAAAAAAGCTACACTGTATGTAGTAGTTCAAAGCCTGCTATATAGTTTGTGATACACACCAAAGCAAAAAAGTTCGCTATCTTCCTGGGTTTCAGATGTAAGTGTGTCTGACAATTTATTAGCTGTTGCTGAGCATCAATGAGCGGAACCACTTTGGAGAAGTATCATGTCTACAGGGATGAATGCATTCCTGCAGAGAAGCTGCAAATGCCTAAACTTTTATTGAATTATTGTCATTCGTACTAGGTCTTCAGACAAAGCCAGAACAATTATAACTTTCTCGTCTATCAATTAAAATAGTAGTGAATAGCATTGGCATCAAAAGTAAGCTTTGGCATTCAGTATAACTACATTCTTAAAAGCATTATGAAACTGCATACAATGTGAACTGTAATAATTAAGGGCAATGAGTACCATTGCTATATATGTGTTGTTTGGAGTCTGCTGACTGACTTTTCAGGTTTCAGAAGAATAGCGTCTCGAGCTGTGGCTGAACAAACGCATCAAATGAGGATATAGCTAGCTACTGAGCCTCACACACCTTTTAGCAACTAAACACCATGTCTGCACAGCTGAATCCACTCCAGAAGTTGCCAAAAACAGGAGGATGAAGGGGGATGTAGGGATGGCGTAAATTATGAAAAAGGATGCCAACAAGAAGATGCTTCAGCCGACAACAAAAATCGTACATCCATCCCTTCATCTTCCGGTAAGGAGAAATCGGGTCTAAAGAATAATTATGAATGGCGTATGAGCGGATTCCGTGTCGAGAGTTGCAGGGACGTATGAAACTTTTGGGCATATGTATAGGTAGATATGGACCCGTGAGTGATTTCTGGTGTATTTTGAAGGCATAGCTAGGCATTCTCGCCGAGTTTCGAGGAAGTTTTGAACGCGGATCACGTGAGATTTCACTCGTGCCATCCTAGATCCTACATATAGAGAGCGTCTACCGACGCTCTGAAATCGCGAAATCGCGTAAGAGCGAATTCTCGCGTGGACGACTGAAGGTGCGTATGAGGTCTTTGGGAATATGTATAGGTAGATATGGGCCCGTAGACTATTGCTAGTGTGTTTTGAAGCCCTAGGGAGTTATTCTCACCGAGTTTTTAGTCGTTTTGTACGCAGATCTTCTTCTTCTCCTTCTTCTTCTTTGTAACCTCCACTGAAGGAGAGTAGCCTATGGGGTAGGCAATTATATGAGGGCGAGTAGTTGACGGTGATGCTCGGAGTGTAGACGATGTAGAAACACAACGATCTCTCTCTGAAGTGGCGGATCCTCGATCCAGCGAATTCCCAGGATGTGTTCCGCAAAACCGTTCGGGTCTGAGTCTAATAACGGCGCTAGGTCGGAGGCCGCCAGCAGAGGCGGGAGAATACGGGCAGAAGAGAGGGCGGGGCAGTGAGATATAAAGTGAGTAGTGTCTTCTGGTCCGGATCCGCATAGCTTGCATGTTGGGTCTGAGACGTTGTTCCGGAATCTGCATGTATCTGTCCCGAGACCATGGCAGTTCACTAGCAATCGGATTCGCGTTATGTTCAGTTTAGTGGCACGTGGGAACCCGCAACAGACTAAGAGGTGGGGGATGATCCTGCCCAGCTTCAGCTCAGCACATTCAGATCACGTGAGATTTCACCCGCGCCATCCCTATAATTATAGAGTCTACCGACTCTCTAATATTAGTTGTAGTCGTTATAATTTGTAGGATACAAACGAAGCCAGAGAAAGTATCACAGTGTGTTGTCAACGCTAAATATTTGGTTTGTGATATTCATGCGAACTGTCCCTCAACGGAGTCCTCTACAAGGCAAGAAGAGTCAGACGCATCTTCTCTCCCTCTCTCTTTCTTGTAGTCTCAGTGAGTTGCCTCAGTTGTTGGGTTGACAGAAATTGCATAAGCAGTGTTATATAAGCCTGCACAATGATAAAATGTGGAGCTATCTCATCCAAACACAATGCAAAATGCAGATGCATAATAAAGAGTTATTTTTAGCGTTAGTGCAAAGTAACATTACAGCTGTCACACCTCCATGGTGTACAAGCAGAAACCATGTATATACAAAGTATTAACGCCTAATATTAAAACTTCCATATAAATTATTGCTGCTTATGGAGACAATGGACACGTTTATGTGTCCTTGGCTGGTTAAGTGTTAAGAGCCACTTGCATTATAATTATTATGCCACACTTCAGCTTTAACAGAGCAAAAGCATGTTGTGCCATTGAACAGAAGGTGTCAAGTTTTTTTTCTGGTATATACAATTGTGACTTCACTTTCTTCACAACTGCCTTTTCATTACACATAGAGAGCATGTACATAAGTCATCTACGCGCAATGACTTAAAAAACCTATTACTATGTTTCAACCCTGGCTGGTTCTTAAAGCTCGAATTCATCAATCACTGTATAATGGATTTTGTACATGCATGAACCTTACTTACTTACTGCAGGTGTGTCAGAGTTTGGAGGCAGGGAGGTGGTTGGAGGAGGAGAAGTTTGAGATGACCGACAGCTTCCCTGCTGCCAAAGTAGGCCACTGAATGTGTCTTTAGCAGCGGACTATTGCGCGGTTACAGTGCAGTTGTTGCTGCATGAAGACTAGCTTTACGCGTGATCCTTACACAACTTTTGTGATAGTAATGGTGGTGCTAATTCAATCAAAAATGTGCACTCTTGCTGAGTACAATTTCGTGTATTACATTTGGTGTTTGACTTGAAATGTGTGCTTCAATCATACACCCTATTACTCCGTGTGTGTGTGTGTGTGTGTGTGTGTACACGTGATAACCCTAGGCTACTACTATTATCTACAACAAGAAGTAGCCCATTGATACAGTCTCTATCCTTCTCTCCCCCACCACACCTCACTGCAGTATTTCAGAGAGGAGAGAGAGGAGGCAGGTCATCTGTACAGGTCCAGTCTCTTCAAGGAGGCAGGCTCAGTGTGTATGTCTCCCTCAACCTCTCCCCCTGCACTCCAGCTGGAGATGCTTCTAGTGGCTGGGTCTGGGTGTGATTCGAACCCACAACACTCGGCAGTCTAGTCCGCGCTCTACCAATACCAACTGGGCTGCCAGCTGGTAGGGGTTCAATCTTCAACGCAATTAATACAACACACAAGCATACCACTATGCTACTTCACTCAGTATGTACCTCATTTGCATTTATGTGTGTTTATTAACCGCATGTAGATTCAATCTCGTCTCATCGAATGCTGTCCTACGATGGCCACATTCTGGACAAACCTCAGTCACGAGAAACCAGTCCTGAACTGTAGACATTCTTCACACTATACCACAATTTACACACATAACCACACAGTATTGTAATACCTTCTTTGACGAGTGAATGTTAACGTGCCTCGTTAGTGCTTGTTGAAGAATGAAAAGGACTAAAGTGGCAAACCCTCGATCAAAACGGCGCAACTACTCGTGGAATAGCTCTTGCGCATAACTCATCAACTTATTCTCTAAATCACAGATCACAACTAAAAACATCTAGCTATTGTATAATGTTCAGTCACTTTTACTGCAGCATCAGTGAAGACGAAACTTCCAGGGCTGCTTTCACCCACAAATGAAGTAGTGGTGAAACTCCCCTATTGCAACGCATGCTCCACTGCAGCATTTCGTTAATGGGCTGCAGGCTGTACCCCCAGGAGCGCAACCTATACTGTATTCTGTATATATAGAAGAAGGGGGAGAGAAAGATATTTTAAGTGTTGATTACGCACAATGTGCATTGCACGATGTTGGGAAAACTGACTAATCATGGATCATGATTTCACTGACCGATATCAGAGCGTCGGTAGACGCTCTATGTAGGGATGGCAGGCACGAGTGAAATCTCATCCCTATATCCCCCTTTCATTTTGAAGAAAAATGATTTTTCCACTTGTAATAATATTACAAGTGGAAAAAAAAAAAAAAAAAAAATCATCTTCAAAATAAGGGGGATATAGGGATGGCTGCAAAAAGGAAGAAAAAACAAGGGGTCATTACGCAGCAAAGATGCACCAAGACTACATGATACCATCCCTATATCTTTGTCTCATAGTAAACTTTACTTAGTGAACTAGATAATATAACACAAAGATATAGGGATGGTGTCAGGTAGCTGGTGCATCTTTGCTGGGTAATGACCAATGTTTCTTCCTTTTGGTGCTTTCAAGCCTCCCATACCCCTTCATTTGAAAGAAATGATTTTTCCACTGTTTCCACTATTTTTCATGCCTTTGACAACACTGCATCTTCTGTCATTGAATGTTCATGGGTGTTGTAGCGTGTAAAGCAGAAGCTAATGGCTGCTCCCACCTGAAGCAGGGTGTATGCGTAGTGTCTCCACAACGATGCAATTAGTTGTGCCCATATGGTGGGGTGGTCTTCATAGGCAGGCTTCAGTAATCAGACTACAATGATAGCTATAACCTGGGGGACAAACAATGAAGGCGCTGGGCAAGGCCCGCGTAACACGGCGCACACTGCCAGTTGCTCCTCGTACAAATCAGCAGCAAAACGCAAGCTAGCCAGTTAAAATGTGTATACTGACTTACAGAAGCACTGGGGGATAAGAGTTTCCTCTGCAGGCATCCTCGCTTAGTCTGTTTCACGCACTAGACTCGCGCGCACCGCAGGGGAAACGCCCTCCTCGGCGCATGCGGCTCCTGATGCTGAGTTAGCAGCAATGGGCGTTGTCCAGTGACTACCGTGGAAGAGCTCAACGATCTACCGTAGTGACTTGCGGCAAGAAACAAGACGATCGCTTGACATGCGTGCACACCTCCGAAAATTTGGAGACGTTCTGTGAAAAAATCAAACGTTCACTGCTTCCGGTAAGGAGCTAGGGGTCTGAAGAAGAAGAAAGAAGAAAACTGGTAAAAAAAATTGGGTTACCTAACACCCCATTTTCTGTACCAAAACTGGCAGGGTATTGGGAGCACCTCAGGGGTGTCCATTACACTAAGTAGGTGTTTACTAACACTCTTGGGGTGTAGATGTCAAAACATGGACAATCTAGTGCTCACACAACACCTGAGGGTGTATCCTACACTGACCCAGCACTATATCACAACTACTGTATGCCTTGTGGCATTTGTCCCATATATTGTTCATAGGAGCAATGTCAGGAAAATTCTCATCATCTCACAGTCTCTTCACTTGTTTTATTATTGTTATTGTTTCACACACCGGTAGGTGCAGAAAGAGAGAGAGTGATTCTATGAGAGAATGATGAGGAGATAAATTTTTATCTCATAGGATGAGTGAATACAGAGAGGTCTATGATGCAATCAAAGCACTGTTAAAGAGATGACAGTAAGCCGACGCGTCACCCCACCTGAGAATTGCGCGTTAGTCGTGAAAGGTAGTCTGCAGCACATGACCTTACAATCCTGCACCCACCCCCGCCCACGTACACGGTGGTTATGAGATAATGTTCGCGCTCAATCAGTTAAAGATATTCAGCTCCGCGTGGAAGACCCCCTCTAGGGGGAATCTTTCCTCCTATCCTCCCCCTTGTTCCTTTACTTCTGAGTGTTCTAAAACGCCGCTTTGTTCCACTACCAACTAAAACCTCGCAATAACACCAATCAAACATGCCCAAAACCAACCTCCAACACCCCTCCCGCTACCCCCCTCCTCTCTTCCTACCCTATCTCCTACACCTCTTCCCTCCCATTCCCACTCCTTTCGGCACCCCTAGGCAACCACCCGCCCACCAATCCATTACCTCTACACACTAATCAACCTATAAATAACAAATTCGAAGACTACCTATCTACCCGCCCTCAAAAACCATCCACAAGGAAAGGACTCCCTTCTTCTCCCCCTCCCCACAACCTACCCAACACTTTTTACCAAACAACCCACCATGCAGCCTCCCTCCACCAAAGATGTTCACTTACCAATTCCCAAAAAACAACCTAATCCAAGAGCCTAATGCCCCACCAGCTCACCACCACTCACACAAAAATACACAGAATAAGACAAAATAAAACCAACTCTTGAACCAAAAACGCTATACCATATACCAATACCCCTACTGCAACAACCTATCCAAATACAAAGTCTCTCCCAAAAATCAAACCTCTACTTTAATTACACTTTCCTCAAACAAAACAAAACCTCAATTAACAACAAACCACATACTCACAATCACGACAATAACAACCAAACACATCCCTTCACCACTACTACCACTAATTATACATACATACAAAATACCACCCCAAACACCCCTTCCATCAAAAAATTTCCTTTTTCTAACCCCCTGTCCCACTCGTCCCAATTTTTTTCCTCCATTGACCGTCTGGTTCAAGGATCCGCCCATCCATTCCTCTCGCCCCACGGTTCCTCCCTAAAAACTCACTGTCAACATTCTCTGCTCTATCCCCCCGCCATCATCCCTTCCTCCACCCTATCCTGAATGGCGAGTCCTCCACCGTTACTATGCCTGCGTTTCCTCACTCCAGCCCCCTTCTACTACTTATTGCCGACACCTGCTTTCCACTCCCTAACCTTCCTTTCTACCAATCCCCCCTCTTCCTTCCTTCTTGTTTGTTACACGCTCCCCCTCCGAAATTTCCCCTCACCAAAAAT